TAGAGAAAGGAAAATAATACAAAAAATAATACCTTTTCTTTAGATCATTGATCGTTTCTTTTTGTTCACTGAACCAAAGTGGTATATGTTTGAGGTGTAAATAATGATAAATTTTGGATACAATTTCTTGACTATTCGAATCATAGGATATCATAAGATGTTTTCCTTCAGGAATCGATGTGCTAGAAAATATAGATTCAATACTACGGAATAAATAAATGGTAACTAAATTGAAGGTTGGAAAATATGAGAATTTAAAGCTCACAATTTTTGGATCCCAAGAAATCTGGTTTGATGTCCCTTACACTGAATCAAAGACTACGGTGTTAAGTGAATTTTATGACTAGCACATCAATTTGTTAAGTTTTATAATATTTTTCAAACAGACTTACTATTCTTCCAAATGAACGACGTCAAAACTTGCATCATTACGTGTTCTGGATTTGACGCACAAATGAGTTCCAGGCATGAGAATGACTTCATTCTCCCATGCCTCCCCATCCTCCTCCTTTGATGAGTAATCACTAATATCTTTGCCATTAATAGTATTAATGCAGAACAGGACACCCTTTTGGCCTAGAAATGCCGTACCGACTTCGGCATTTAACGAACATGAGTTCACGCTCCACCAAGTGAAAATATCAGTTTCATAGTAATCAGAGCTACTAATGTCTGCAACACCTCGCCATACGGTAGTCGGACGCGACGTTAATTTCTCTAGACCGGTAATGAACAGTTTTAGAAAGTCGAACCATGGTACCAGCGCGAGTGGATTTTCACCTCGGAGAACTTCGTTAAGTTTCCTGTAGAAAGGTTTATCCATTGTGTAAAGATAAATTGCTGCGGATTCATTTATTGTTAGTTTTGTGTTTCTTCTGCATTCTTTTTTAGCTTTCTCTGCATCCTGCATGACGTTGTCGACAAATGGAACGATGCTTTCTACAGCTTCTTCTAATGACTTCAAGGCCCGATCCTTATAACCGGATATTGGATTCCAATTACACTCTTGCCGTTTTGAGCTATAATTGTCTACAAAGCGTCCGCTTCCTTTGGATACCATTTATTATGGTAGTTGATTACTGATTTCCTATAACAAGCAGACTAATTAAAAACAATATGAGCTATAGTTCTTCGATGATGGTCTTATCCTCTTCTGTATCATTCATCAAATTAACAGTAAAGTAGATGGAGTGTAGGTGTAGATCTGAGTAATCTTGGAAAAAATAACCCTTCACCCACATCCTCTAGATGCGTCATGAACCGATCTTTTTTCTAATTAAAAATCAATTAAAAGAACATCATTCGAATTCGATTTTAATCTAATTTGTTGGACCCTTTTTTTACATAGATAGTAAGAAAACAGAAATAAATGTCTTATTTTTTTCTGCATTGTTGTCGTTTTGCAAGTTGTATAAAAATATATAGAACTCAGCAGTTTTTTTTACCTTACTGGTTTATTGAGATTTCGTAACACTGATAATTTATTGGTTGATGTATGAGCACCTTCTTGTATTGAAAAACAATGATGAATACACAGAAGAATATTATGTTGTGCGTCAAATATAAACTGTTAATATCTAAAAAAGAATTAATAGCTTATACATACAACATGCCACTTTTTCTGCATATATTTTTTTCTCTTGCTTTTAATCAATTTTTCTACTTGCTTTTTCTATTTTTCTTTTTCTTGAGTCTAATCAAAAGTTCTGTGATCATTAAATAAAAAAACATATATGCAGAAATAATTATTATTTTATTTTATTAATTCTTTATCACATACAAATCAAGTATAAATTAAGTCGTACAGTTACGCAGCGATTGCGAATTATTAGGTTAAATAAAGATGTATTAATTTCAAAACATTTTTAGTGCTTCCTCTTTCGGATCTCGAAAGAGATGGTTGAACTTTATTCCTTTCAATGGAATAAATGAAAACCATGCAGTATCAGTACTTTTCTGCTCAGTTATATCATCTATTCTATTTAATAGTTGTAAAAAAAACGAAAAAATGTTTTTAGCTCTTGTATAGTTAGCTCAAAAACTGGGACGTTTCAAAAGATAAAAAGTCTGAGAGCTTACAATTTGAGAACGTAATCTTCATTAACCCTAGTACTCCCAAACCTATTTTTAGCGATAAGAAATAGAATGCATTTCGAGAAGGATTTCATACTTTCATCCATAAAAAAAAGATTTCATAGCATTTTCTTACTTTTAAAAAACAGAGTCCATTTTGATCCTGGTTAGTAGTTATAGGGTTAAGATAAATAATTAATCCTCACTATAATCTTTTCTTTATTGAGCTTATCAATACTTTTACAAATGAAATGACATGAATTACTGATTGTTATAACCAAATGGACTGTTCTAATATAATCTTATTTATAGTATTGAAAAAATACTATTATAAAATGAAAAACTCTTTTATATTCATTCTCAACATTTACTACAAAAGAAAGTTTATTTTGTTAGTATACTTAAATCTAAGAATTTATCTATGTTTGTTGAAATTCTTCATTCAGAAAAATGGATCAAGATAAGTATTCTTTCTTTGTGAAGAAATTCGATAAATATGAATAATTCAAGAAAGACTTTCAAAATTGGTGTATTAACTACTCAGAAAATAAAAAAATGACGGCCTTGGTGTAAAAAACACGAACAAAAAGACATGTTTGATGATGAAGCGAGCTTTATTTGTTATGTATTTCATTTTCAATAACTAAAATGCAAATTTGTATAAAATTATCAAGTGAAATTGATTAAAAATCAACATCACGGAATGAGTTTTATGCAAATTTTTATTTTTATGATTTGTCTGTTCTTTGAGTATTTTCAACCAATGAATGTTAGAACATTACTCGACGAAATAATGAAAAATAAATGAAAGAATTCTTTAATCATTTTCGATACCAAAATGTAATATACATATATCATTGTAGTGACCCTGTTACACGAGATATAAAAGATGGATCAAGAGCAAAGAAAGAATCGGTTCGATGGCATTATGAGTTCTATTTTAGAATACAACATGATACGGAGTTAAATAACATTATTCAAAAGATAAGAGATTTAGCTTATATCAATAAAGAAATGCATATAAAATAATAATAAGACTTTATATTTATTAACAAGATGGCTATATCTACCTGTTTATTGATAGGCACTTTGCATTGTTTAATGGTAATAAACCTTTTATTGAGGCCTAAAAATACCTTTCATTTTTTCTGTATGCTGGCTTATCTTTTTTCTGTTTAACTTTCATATCGACTGCTCGTATTCTCATTCTTTTTTTCTGTCCTTGTTTGCCACTTTTGTATTAATCCCTTCTACTCTCACTCAATTTTCCTTTCTAGTGTTTGTATTTCTTGTTCTCGTTGTCTCTTTTACATCGATTGATTTTATTCTTATCATTTTTTTCTACCTTGCTTTTTTTCTTTCGTGTGGTCTCTTTTATATTTTCTCTCAAGATCAAATTCCACTAATATTTTTAAATACTCGATTGACTTACGCAAGAACCTTACTAACGATACTCATATTAGAAAAGATGTAAAAAATCGATTTTTATGGATTTTTACCTATTATAACTTATTAATTGTACATGTAAAAAATAAATTTAAATCCATTTTGAGGAGTGTGAGTCCGGTTTTCAGTTGATTACGGTGTACTGTCATGTTCATACTCATAATCTTTTTAATTGATTAATAAGTTGAAATAATATTTCGAAATAATTTTATTTGAGTTTCTAAAAATATTCTAAAGTTATTAAATAAAACATTTTATATATTAGAACTTTAAATATTAAATCATAAATAATCAAAACATTCAAGAAAATACTTCTAAGTGAGATTCATCGAAATAGAATTAAATTCTTATTGAATTTTAAATGATGTTTATAATTTAAGATAACTAATAAAAGCAATTAAAATACTAATTTTATGTTATTTTTAACAGAAGAAATTCGATTAAAATCAATTAAATTTTTTATTTTTTATAAAATAAAAGAATAAAGTCGCTTAACAATTTTTAATAAATAATCAAACTTAAAAATGAATTAAAAATATTTAATAGAATTCTTCTTAACAATCAAATTCTGTTGATAAAAATTTGTCAGTTAGTCGAATAATTTAAACAAAAGAAAATTTATGAAATATTATTATTAGAAAAATTTCTTCACAAAAACGAAATTTTATTTGATTAGATAAAAAAATAAAGAACAGCTTTGTAATCATAAAATATTTTGTCAATTGATCGTATTAATCTCCTATTATACTCATAAGATTTATATATGAAGTTAATATTTATTTAGAATAAAAACTTTTACTCAATGTTTTTTCTAAACTATAAAATATATAAAGTCTATCAATAGATGTAAACATTTATTAATTAAATTGTTTAAATATTTTATATTTCAATATTAATTGATTGTACAACAAAAAAGTCTTCTAACTTATTTTAATTTGTTTATTTTTATGCTTAAAAAAGACTTAAAATTGATTTTATATTTTACTAATAGAAAAGTATGAAATTAATTTCAAATCTTCATAGAAACATCAGTATGATGAAGGTGTGTGGATAGAGTTAGTGATGACACCAACACCTGTCCACCCTTTATAGTGAAAATATGTTGATGCTTGCGAATCACTAAAAGTAATATGGATACCACAAATAAATAAAAAATTATTCGGATAATAGATTTGTCGATATATTTTATATTCGAACACACATGAATGCATTTGAAAATTACTTGTATACGCATTTTAGAAAAAAAAAGTACATCAAAAGAATATGTTTTGTTGTTTGAAAGATAATGATAAATAGAGTAACAACTTTTGCTATGATTTGATGATACATCGTCCTAAGAATTTCATTTTCAAAGCTAATTGACAAATTATTTTGTGAATTGAAAAATATAATTTTTAGTTATAACAATCTTTTTCTTAATTTAATAAAATATAAACTTATTCAAATGTATATTTGAAACAAAATTTATGTTCATATAATTATTATTCATAGTCATATTGTACGATATATTCTGGATATGCTTGATAATGATTGAAAATACAAAACTGGTCATTTCTATCTCCAGCATGATTGAATGCAGAATCATATCCATAAGGTAAGGATTTAAAACCTGATCTACCTGCGATGGATTGTCCGAGTAATACTTGACAAATAAATAATTCTCGACGATGTGAAGTTTTTCTCATAACAAAAGGATCATTATTAGAATAATTGGCATGAACGGCAAAATAGACTCCATCACCAATAAGACCACCTGGACAATAACTTCGATAAAAGCCATGATATGTAATCAATTTCTGATGTGCTAATGAAGCTGTTCCATGAATAAGACGTGTACTAATTGAGGGTATTGCCTTTTGCACTTGCTGATACATACACCAGAGTCGAATATTTTGAACTCTGACAATCGAATAAATGACTACCGATGATTTTTGAAGTGATTTTGTAAAGAAATTTGATATATCTTCAAATTCTTGAGAGGATCGAGAAAGAGAAATAAGCGTCACTGGTGATTCAATCATTGATACAGCAGTCCAGTGTTGTGGAAATGTCGTAGTAGGATCAGGTATTAAGACATTTCGAAGTGCTAATTCCTGATTAAGAATATCAGAAATCGATTTGTCAATAACAGGTTTTCCTTGTGCATTAAGTTGAGTTAAATAAACAACTATTTTTTTTAATTGAGAATCATTTTTCTTAACGACAAAATCGTATGGATCGTTGGTCAATTGTACCATTTCATAATTGATACCATCGACGACTTTATCATATAATATATTTGATATTGTCGATTGGCCACTCTTCCACAATGAGTCGAGTTCTTCTTGAAGTTGGCAGAGATCATCGAGTTGAAGATCACCCAAACAGCTAATACCCATACTAACAAGTTTGGCAGTGTGCATAACTGTGTTCTTTAACAAATACAAAGCAAAGAAATGTGTTGATTTTGTGTTATTATTTTTTTGTATGACTACGCTATACCGTAATAGATGTTCGTTACTTTTTACGCATACATTATTTTGTTAAAAGTAAAAGAAAAAAACATGAAAGAACGAACAAAAATAAGGTATCATATATTTACTACGTCAATGATGATGTAATTGCAAAATCGAATAATAAGTGACGACAAAAACACGATTTTTGTCGTAATGTTTTTTTTCGGTAGGTGTAGAACAGATCAAAAAAAGACTATATGAAATTGATATGGTCAATGAATAGTTATTGATTTTCGAGAAATGGGAATCGTTTTGAATGTTGAACCATTTTCATGTGGACCATTATCGTTAATACGAATAAAATGAACTAATATGGTTTATGAAATGATAGAACAAGTTTATTACCTTCTATTCCACAATTTTTTCCACTAAATCCATTTTTACAAATATTAGTATATTATCTATCATTCTGACAAATTCCAGTTGGATTTGAATAACATATTGTATTTTGAAGTAAATATCGAGAGTCCCATTTATGAAGAGGACAAGTACAACTAGATCGATTATTTACGAAATATCTTATACTTTTGAGAAAATATATGAAAAAAAGACCCTTTATTTTGTAATAAAAATGTTGAAGAAATGAATGATGTACACCCATAAATCTTTGAAAAAGGCATACCCAATGACCATGAGGATGTCGGTGTCTGTTGTACATTTTACACGTTCAATTAATAAGTTAACAGGTCAATATTCATTAAAATCGATTTTTTACATCTTTCCTAATATGGATATCGCTAAAAAATGTTTTCGCGCAAATCAATCGGCAAAGAAAAAATAAAATTGGAGTAGGATGAACTGATATGAAAGAGACAAGAAAAATTGAGTGAGAGTAGAAGAGATAAACAAGAACAGAAAAAAATGAGAATACGAAGAGTCGATATGAAAGAAAAACAAAAAGCGACAAGCAAGTATATAGAAAAAAAGAAAGTGTTTATATACATGCGGTTGTACGTTTCTAGTCGTTTATGTGTACACACAATTGTATGTAGTAGACTGACTATACACGCATTTGTATAGATAGGTAAACGGCTATCACACACACGTAGGTATAACCATTTTATTAGTAAATATATATTTCTTATCTTTTGAATAATTTTATTTAACTCCCTACTATGTTGAATTTTAAAATAAAATTCGTAATATCATTGAATCGATTATTAATTTGGTTTTGATCCATCTTTTATGTCTTCTAACAGAGTCACTATTATAACATATTTAGAAAACGATCAAAGAATTCTTTCATTTATTTGTCATTATATTTCTATTTTTCACACCAAAGTCAGCGTTTTTTTATTCTTGAGAATGGGTGTGAGTGCGAGTGTCTTCTGTATCTCCAAACCCACACCTAAAACATACACACGGACACTATTTTTTCTGCTTGTTGATTCTGGTTACACCAACGTGGTGTTCACATCAAATAAAAGAGAGAACGATCCTGTCGGACTGCATTTTGATGGCAACAACACAACAACATTGAATCGCTTCATATGTAAATAAAAGCCTTTTCTCTTTTTTTGCGACGTTTACTTTTTGCCGATCAAAGTATATAATTAATTCCATAGTAGAGTAAAAGACTTCTTTTTCATTTGCGCCTAAAAGAAAAGAGAACAAATGAGACGCTTACAAAGCAAAATCTAATATAACGTCTGAATACAGAGAATTTTTTATTTACTAGTCACCAACAGACACGTAATGATACAATATATAGGCTCGAACTGTATTGCACCGATAAATTAAATATATGAGCAATTTCTATCTTATACACTGATGCTTGTTAATCTTTCAGAAAAATCATGCCATGGAAATCTAAATCACATCAATCCGACAATGCCCCTTCATCCAACGGACTTAACTCGAAACAAGATAATGTTTCGAATTCATCACCTGTAGTTGAAACACGTAGCGATACCGCCTCGCATGAATCCATTACAAGTCAAAATTCATCTTCAACTACACATCCATCTGCTCAACAATGGTCCTATCAGCGAGGTGCACAATCAGCTACTACAGCAGCGAAACAGATCGAAGATGATATGCGAGAAGTTCGAAATATTATTGCAAACTATTCAATTGAACCATTAGAAATACTGCATCTCGGTAAGTTTATTTTTCGACTCTGTATACAGTTTACCCTTACATACTATTTGATTCTTTAGTCGATCGTTGGCTTCAACAACTTGTCGATGAATTTTTCGAACAACGTGATCATTTTAAATATATATTGTACGAAAGTTGGCAAAATCAAGAATTGCCTAATATCAAATATGATAACAATGATCCCATACGTCAAATCTATGCTGCAAACAAAGAATTAGAGAAAGCACGTGATAATGTACTCTCACATAAATCATTCAATGACTTAAATAGTTATTTAGCGCAAGCGGATGAGCAAGCAATCGATGAAATGAAGGAGAAATTCAACTCATTAATTGGACAATATGATCAAGTTCTACAACATTTAGAGGTTATTGATAAACAAATTAACACGACTACTGGTGGAGATAATTATATCAGTGATATAAGAAGCAAACTATCGACTTTGAAAAGATTGAATAACAAGGAATCGCATACCATCTGTATTGTCGGTTTAGAAAAAGCGGGTAAATCAACATTTATCAATGCACTCCTTGGCTTTGAACTCTTGCCCATAGCCAGTGAACGATGTACTCAAATACGTACTGTTTTGAAACCAACGCTAGGAAACAACGATCAACAACTATTTGCTACTGCGACTTTTTATGATGATCAAGAATTTCAAGTTTTCTTTAGTAAAATGACGAAGAAAACAGATGAAAATGAAGCACAGTTAACACAACGTAAAGAAGCGGTATTGCAAAAACGAGAAAGTTTGAAAGCGAAATTTCCAGCGGAATATTTTCGTGTGCAAAGTTCCAATAATGTCGAACGGGAACGTAATGATATTATCAAACGATTAAATGAGTATATAACTGGTGAATTGTATGTGAATATCATTAAAGAAGTTGCAATTTATACAGATAAATTACCAGGTATGTAAGATAAAAGACATAGTCACTTACCCATTATATTTAATAGGTAAAAACTATGAACTACTCGATGTTCCTGGTTTTGATTCTCCCATCAAAGAACATCGTGATGCTGGTCTACAAGCAATCAAATCTGCTGATGCTTTTCTTTTTCTGACTAGTGGTCAACAACCAAGTTTGACTGAACCACAAATTACTCTTCTACAAGAAATTCAACAAAATCATTTTGAAGCCATGCAACGTGCATTTGGTATTATTACTAAACTTGATCTTTGCCAAACGGCAACCATTTGTCATGAACATTATCGAAAAACATGTGCTGAACTTGTCGATAAACGCTTCAAACCCGAACGTATCTTTGCTGCTTGTCCACGTATTCAAATTATTGATGAAAATTCTGAAGAATATCAGGTTATTGATCGTAAATTGAACAGTTTTGGTGATGATTTAGCAGAAGGTTTCAATCGAAGTAAAGAAGCTCTGGATAAATTTATTAAATATGAATTACCTAAAACTCATTTGAAACAATTAATTGATATAGGAAGAACGCGATTAGTTCGACTGGTTATGGAACGACTAAATCGAATCAAAGAAAAACAACTTCTACCATCGAATTTAGCGAATGTGTCTATTGATGAATATATTAAACAACAGAATACAGAGAATTGGGATCATTTGTACTATGAAGGGATCTTTCAGCCCGTTTTTGACGAAGCTAATACTTGGCATGCAACAATCGTTACAAAAAATCGTGCTGAATTTATTGATGATATTCATCAAAAATTTCGTGATTCATTCCTTGATTTGACGAAAGAATTTGTTCAACGTAAATTTCCAATTGAAAAACTAGTTCTTGAAAAATACAATGCCGCAAAACTTCAATTAAATGTCCATCCGGTTGATACCGAGATTCGTGCAAGATTAAGTATTGAACTAGAAAAACTTGTCAATCAAACATCCGATATTTTAGCAGAATATTTATATCATAAATATGTTTCTGAAATGGAAAACTTATTGAATAATATTTGTCTACAATCGCAAGATTTATACTGTACGAAGTTAACATTAGAAAAATGTATCATTGAAACACATGCATTAGTTTTGAGAATTTGTCGACCGGTGATTATGGCAACACTACGATATTCTTATATTGATTTAACAGTGAAACAAGATGCTATTCATGAATTGCTTTGTATTGCACCGATAGTGGCATTTAATATAGCCAATCGTCCTAAACCAGACACTGATGGTGATTTACTTGGATCACAAATACAGGCATGTGCAGAATTTTTAGCAGATAAAACTACAACATCATCATGGGCAATTCGAACACTTTTTAGAAAATAATTGACATGAAATAGGATTGTGATTCAAATCAGAAACTCTATAGCTATCATTTTTGATCTATTGAAGGTGATAAATAAATCTACAACAGAAGAAACTAAATATAGAAATTGTTCGACATACTTGAATATAATATTTGGAAATATATTGCTAATAGAGGCTGTGGATATTAAATTCAGTGCTTTATCTAGTAGAGTAAAATTTTACGGCCTCTACAGTTAGGAAATATAATTTTTCCATCTATAAACCAATTATTATTTTTTGTTCTTCGAAGAAGTGTGAAGTATTTGAAGCAAACATAATACCAGTATTCATTAAGTATATTAAATCATCTTGCGAAAGCAACAAAATAATACAAATGTATTTTGACAGATACAGTTTCAGTATAAAACAAGTTTTATTTGATGAATTAAAATACGATTTTTGATTCAGAAAGTATGGAAGAACGTGCCTTTATTTAGGTAAGTGAATATGAACATCTCTACTCCGAATTAAATGAGTTTTTTCTGAGATCTATTCGCGAAATCTAAGTTTCATTTTTCATATATTCTATCTATTTTTAATCATCATTGTCATCCGTATTTAAAGTTTAGTGTCACAATATTACTTAGATGTCTTTCTTTTGCTTAAAACACATCACGCGATATAAGCCGCTTAAAAAGACGAAAGAATGCACAAACACTCCTTTTGCTTTCTATCTATCATCATCAACCGATGATTTTCCTCATGAAGACATGTAGGGATGTAATTTTTACCAAATTTATTGACATTAATACTGCACACAGAAAATGTCTCTTCTAAATCTGAGTTGTATTGTGATAGTTCGATATTGATTCTGATATAACTTGACTCTTGAAAGAATTAGATGATTAAAACTGAATTCTAATCCATCGTAAGTCATCATACATAATCGCACATCTTCCATACTTTAGTATCAATTATTCTACGATTTATTAGTGGCGTCTTAAATTTTTCCGATCAACTTACAGTTTATTATATTCTCAAACAGTTGCCTTTCGTATCAGATAAATTTGAACAACGAAAATTCTTATTTATTCTGTATGCTGTTAGCGCTGCATTTCTATTTCAACCATGTGGTCGGATAACATTTGAACGAGTATTAATGGGTCTCATTATTGAAACTGGTGAATTTATAGCTTATTTATGCTTTTTACAGACAACGCGTACCGTCGTATTGGCTGTATGTGGATTCTATGTAGTGAAACTTCTAATGCGAATTATTACTATTGCTATTTTATATAAAACAAGAAGAGTGGGAAGTTTCGTACGTACCAGACGTTTTTTTAGTTCCTATCAAAATAGTTATGTACGGATTAATTTGCCACGCTCCACTAGTGAATATGAATGATACAGATGGTGACAGTGATAACAGCGGAGAATTTATAGAAGAAGTATATGAACTTTATTGGAATAGATTTCTTGGAATAATTTATTTCGCCGTATATCCTATAATCATTTTGACAACATTGATTATTCGCTTGTGGGATGTGATTTGGTCATAGGTAGTTCCATTAGTTTTGGCTGTGTGTGGTTTGTTGTACGTCGGTATCAGAAATGAGCACATCCTCAACCTTTAAACGCACGTTAAGTTACTCCTTGAGAATCTCAAGCCGAGTCAGTTCTCATATTGAAGATCATTGAAAAATTTATCACAAGTAGTTTTATATACTGTTAAATTTGCCCGCGAAGATATGGAATTCAAATTGTCCGAAGAATTATTTTCTTATTTCGTGTTAAAGTTTAATAACAGTTTATTTTAATCCTCATGAGGGGAAGTACGCTGGAATCTAAAGTTTGATTTCTCAACTTTGATCAACAACAACAACAGATAGTTGAAAGTGATGTATATTTTGAGTATATCACATGAATACCCATTGCAAACAAATTGAAGTGATGATTGATACGGGTTTTATGGGAAAAAAAGTTCAAAAGTGATCCGATAAAATACAAGTAATGTATTAGAGAAATTATTTTAAAAGAAAAGTCCTACAAAGATGGTAAAGCTGTAGATGGCAATGTTGAATTATCGGTTACAATAACAGCATTTGAATGTTCTACTGAAATTTCAGTGTTTTCGATATTCCTTGTGTCATTAGTAAGCGTAGGTTCTATATGATTCCCTCGCTTCTTTCGGTACTCATTTAATTTAAACAATAGACGAATTATCAGTGGACAAAACCATTTGAGTACAAAACTAAGACCTCCATAAATGCCAAGTATAAGAGTCCCTGTGTAGAAGAAGTTGACTCGTTCAGTATAAGTATATGAACACAATGATGGCGAACATTGATTAAAATACGATGGATATTCGATTGTAATCGACCAATTTTCAATAAATAGTTCGTTAACAAGATTGATAACTGGTGTATCAGTGGAAAATCGACTTGTTTTTATGGATAAGGAGTTGGGAATCTTACCGTCGTAGTTTGTTGAATCGTAAATAAGTTTGATACATGATGAATTATAGAAACACGCAAGATTCGAAGCAAGAAATGATTCAGTCGGTGTACAACCCATTTTCAAGCCCATGATTGGAACGTTTTCTGAGGAATAATATCCATCAACTAAAGTAGCTTGAATAGTACAGTTAGCATATAAACCACATGAACATCCATCATAATTAATTGCTTGTATGTCCACAATATACGATGGTGCAGAATAGAAAGGATCGATATATTCAAAATTAGTTCCAAAACCTGATATAATCGCATTCCCATGATTTGTATCTCGAAGAAGACGAAGAAGATGAGTAAACATTCTGGGAGCACTTTCTTTGCTCTGTTCGATACGTAAATCGATACGTTTATTAAAATCTACTTTCGATAAAAGTTCAGGTGTAATAAATAGTGATGAAAGAAATTGATAAACTGAAGCATCGACTGATTGAATCGATTGATTACATAATCCGGTGAGAAAGTGTAAGTGAGATAATAAGAATAAACGATAATCTTTTTTAGCGTATATTGAAGGATCTCGAATATGACGCCACTTATTTAACACAAATGAACTCGTACAGATCTATAAATAATCATAGAAGAAATGATTTAACATATGGTCTTCAAAATTTACCTGATGAAATTTTGGTTTCATTGTAATATATTGATCATATGTTGATGAAATAAATGTACAAGGACATCGAAGTGTATCTTTGTAATCTTGTATGAGACGTTCGTAGACATCGAATGATGGTTTCTCGATTGTTTCTGTTTTAACAGGAGGTTTAACGACAGAATAGAGAATGAGAATAGCAAGACCAATGATAAGAAGAACGATGTAAAGACGAGTAGTTAATTGACCAAGATATTTAGCTCTCATTCGATCGATATTACTTCCAAAAGTGTGCAGTGGAAATAGGTTCAAATTGCTTAAAATGCCACACAAACCAGATGGTATTTTTCTGAGTATTATTTCTATACGATCAGGTAGCCTTGGACGATCTATTCAATGAAAAAATATGGGCAATGATACTCTTTTCTTCAGACTAACAATAGTTTATTCGATACCAAATGTATAATTACCTTGTTCTTGCCTCTGAACTTTCGGTTTAAACAGACGAAAGATTAATTTGATAAGTTGATTTGTAATGAGACGTAATACCATGGTGAGACCACTGATCGTAGACACAACTTTTATGATAACTTCGATGAAACTTTGCGTGCTTTCTTCGTAGGAATATTTGCAATAATTCGGTGCACATGCGTTATAATATTTTTCGAATGAAAATGTTTGATTCCATTCTTCTATCATCATCTCTTTTACCAGCGTTGAAAATGGAGCTTTTGGTGGAAAACGGCTTGTCATTGAATCGTGAATAAGAGGGCGAGGATTGAAGTACGGTAGTTTTGTTACATTTTTATTATAAGCCCATGACGCGTTTACGATGTGTAGTATGCTTGACAGACATTCAGGCACATATAAATATTCGAGTGTTGAGAGAAGAACTGAGTCAATAATGAAACAGGCTCGAATCGCACCTGGTACTGGATCAATCCGAAGCTCAGCTTCATAGTGAGTACCATTGTATAAGAGATATTTCATTGAATGTGTACAATCGAACTCAGTAACACAGAAACAGCGATAATCGGATGCATCATGCGTGGTTAGATCCTTAAAAAGGAATCCGTACTAGAGAACAAAAAAAATGTTCGAACAAATTTTATAGAATTTAAATATGAAACAAAAAGTATAGTTGGTATAGTGATTGCTGACTATGAGAATATATACCACGGTCTGTGAGAACACGGAGAGAAACAAAATTTTACTTCTATCTATTTAATCATTAGATTTGTTCATGAGTAAAATATATTAGTTGAAGCATATTTTTTTTCCTGTCCTTTCTTAATCTTTTGTACATATAAAAGATAACAACGGATATGGGTAGATGTGAATGTGTTTTGTTTATGTACATCCTTTTATACCCACATCCATAAATAGAAAACACAAGGCTTTATCTACTGAGTGAAATACCTGAATTCGTTCTCTGCCTCCATCACTATTGTAACAACGATTTTGCTTAAGCGCCACATTTTCAGAATTCGAGAAAGGTTGATCAACTTCAATAAGCAAATGCATTGTATTGATGAGAATATTAAACTGCATGATTATCGATTGGTCGAATTTAGCGAGAATTGTTTCCAATTGGGACTTGAGATTATATTCGGTAAGTGAATTCGGAGTGATAAACGATCGTGTACTTAAACGTTGAACAGTATCATTTATTGTTTTCTGAGCCAACTGACAAAGATTCGATATTAATCGAAAGCCTGAAGCAGCTGAATGTTCCCAATCAAAAACATCTTTGTCAGAACCGAGAAGTGCCAACATTGAAATCCAAGAATCATTGACAAAATCACTCGAACACACTTGATGTAATCTATGATAGAACGAAACAAATGTCTCATAGCGATTTTCACTATGTGAACACGGACATTTGGTTGTATTTGGATATTCAAGTTGCAATTGTTTGTATTTATCTAATGACGGACTTGATTCAGTTGCTGTTATAGTTCTGGTATTCAATAAAGTAAAAACAACAAGAATGACAATGGAAACTAAAACGACGGAAAGAGTGAGAACTTTGTTGGTATATTCGAAAGCATTTCAAAAACAAAATACAACTCCTGTGAAAAAAAAAACATCGTACTTGTGAGAAATAACATATAGACACGTGTAGTGATGCGTTGTTGTCTTATTGTCTTTGTTGTTCGATCATTAGCTGTTTTGAAGAAATTTAATTTTCCAATGTATCTGCCCAATCGACGAATACAATGTACTAGAGGAGACATTATATACAATACTATTATATATTAAGAGAAAACAATACCGAAATTGACATTCGTATTTCGTGAACGTTGCTTAAATTTCGATAATAGATTGATCAATAACGGTACAATGAGACGAAGTATAGTAGTAAGACCACCATAAAGACTCAGTAAGAGAGTCAATGTATCGGAAAAATTCGCTCGACTTATTATCGTATACGTACAAGTTGAGAGAGCACATTCGTTAAAATAGTTTGAATAATTAATCTGTATTGATAGATTTTCCACTAAGAAATTAACCAATCTCTCGCGTAATTGAATCGATTTTCTACTTGAAGTTAAAACAGAATCACTCCAATTTAATCGCATCTATATAAAAAACGAAACTTCATTAGACAAAAAGAATATAAAGTATACACACTTTAGTGAGATTTGGAAAGTAATCAGTAAAATTTTCAAGACATTTGATATTGTACAAACAATCAAATGTGCTTGCCAGAGTAGCATTAAGAGCAGTACATCCTCCAAAAAATCCATCTACTGTCGATACAGCAATCGGCCTGAAAGAAGAATTCATAGGCCACTGATCGTGATAAAGGGCAATTTTATCAAATGCTTCTGCGTAGAAACCAGCTGGAGTGACAGAACCTATATGGTCACAGATTCTGACAAGTTTTGGATTGTGAAGTTCATGATCTCCGGTACACTTTGTACTGATTCGCTGTTTTTCGGATATTGAACTGAAATGAACTACCCTAAATAACACATTTGTGTTGAGCCCTGAAACCATAGCATCTGATTGTGTTATTATTTGGGTGAGTTGTAAGAGCGGAGTGACTTGAATAGAAGAATTCAAAACAGCCACTTCAACTGTTTTCTTCACTTCAGATTGAACATCGTGTTCCGGAAGGAGTTCATTACTGAAGAATTGAGTATGTTCAAGATCGACTAGAGTTTGAGAAACTGTATCTTTTGAAAGTGAACAAAAATTGGCCAGAAATTTGAACTAAATGAATAATAAAACAAAAATATAGATCGAAAACTTTAAATTATTCATTTATTGAGGGAAAGTTATGCGTATATATGGATATCTTGAGAATCGATGCATTCCCTTTACATACATTTATTCTGTCACATACCTGAGCATGAGCCGTCGTTCGAAAATCCATTATTAAGTATTTACTTGCCATTGGATCATAAAGTGCTTGAATCCATTTTTCACTAACGAATAGACTCTCACAGATCGGATGAAATGTGGCATGGTTTGAAACGAATTTGTTGTATGAAATAATTGAATTCGAACACGGACATGAAAGTGTTTCATCATGTTCAAGTCGAAGTTCATTGAAGAGCGATGGAGTGATATTTGAAATAGTAACTAATTGAGATTGTGGGTTCGTAAAAGCAATAAGAGCAAAGATAAAAATCAATACTAAAAGTGGAGAAGAAGAGCATGATTAAGTAAAGATTTAAATATTGAAAATCGAACTCGAATCGGAAAAATACGATTCAATTCATGATCTCTAATTTGTACTTACCAATGAAAAGTATAGTATATAATCGAGTAGCATATAGTTGATGTTTTAGAACAATTGCTGGATCTTGTGGTTCATCATTCTCATCTTCATAGTCATCTTCATCTGGTATAAAAACATTATGATTCTTTAGTTTGTTCTCAATCCAATCGAAGAAATCTTTGATCTTCATTGATTTTGATTGAGAACATTAACCAAATTGGAATATGAGATTGAAAACGATCTATTTATTTCTTATCCATCTTTTCAATAATTATATTACTGTTGTGATCATGCAGTGTATATGATTGATCGAAGAACTGATTCAATTGTTATGGGATCAGAAGAATACAGATTAATTGTAACCAATACTACAATTTTTTTCTCGTTTATGATATCAGTAAGCAGCTCGGTCGCTTTTCACATGTTAATCCTTGACTTCTTCGACATATACTTTCTCGTCAACTCTTTTGATTTTTTATCTTATTTTTTTTTATCACACAGATGTCCAACAAAATATCACATTCCAGAACGGAAACTGGCAACTTATTTTTATTCATATTCATAGAAAATCATGAGCCTGATTTTTAAAGAGTAACTCTAAAAAAAAGTACATCTGTCGCTTTTTTTTACGCCCATGCAAAATGAGCTCTATGGATTTGAAATAAGAGCAATTAATCATGTTTCTGTTAATGAATATTAATGTATACTTTAATTCTATTGAAAAATCCTTTAAATCACACTAAGAATAGAGTATATAAAATTTTATATATTTTTTATGTAATTTATATTTTTTTGTAAATCTAATATAAAAGCTAACACTAGCTAATAATAGTTTTTCTTTTTTTTTTATAAAATGACATATTGATCATATTTACGAATGATTTTTCTTGCTATATCTAGAAATGAACGTTTTAGAATATTCTAATAAAATCAAACATTATTTTAAATTCCGTTAAACTAATTGAAATATCCAAAAAGACATGTTCTATAATGAAAGAAAAACTATTTTTCAACGATCGTAATTATGAAGTAATACGATGTGAAAATTTGCTTTAAACAGATATACTGGATACACCAATATTTTTGATGCGTAAAATTATTGGAAAACGTACCGTAACTAGAAACAAATAGCATTCTTTGAAGCAAGTAAATGGAACATATAATTTATTCATAAATTGATGCGCAATAGAGAATCATAATTTTGTAGTTGTCTGTTTTTCATATCAATATTCATTATGATCGATCATACCTATTATTACTTGAAAAACACCTCAAGATTACCACAAATATAATAGATTAGCTTTAGAGATAATGAAAGATGATATGGAATAATCATCTCGAGTTTTGATGAGACTTATTATTCACTCACACCCACACCGTATGTTCAATTTAAAAGCGATTTGACACTTGAAGATGTTCCCTGTAAGTAAATATTATATATTTATTCACCTTGTAATTCTCTATTTTATCATTTTGTGAATAATTACACTCTTGCCATTCGATTTTTCTTTATATTAATACAACGTAATTATATGATACAGATATGGTATACTACTCATTTTTTTATGGTTTGTCGTTTGGTTATATCTATTAAGGTAGAAAAAATGCATTTCATCGAAAAATATACATAATTAAAAATGATGTCTTCTGTGATTAGAAGTTACAAAAAATAAATTAAAATCTTGTTACAGTTGCCATGCATCGACATTTAATAGTATTTGATTTATTTTCTGCTAAACAATATTTGCATTGCCATGTAGATCTTTTCCTTTGTATTGGTACATTCTCATAAGTATGAATAGATGGATCGTGATATTCGTCGTTATTAGAAAATAATTGTCGATTTTGATCATGAAATTCATCGTTGTTAGAAAAGAATTGTGAATTTTGATCATAATATTCGTCGTTATCAGATAATGATTGTGGATTTTGATCATAATAATATTCATTTTGAGAATAAATTTCTTCGGAGTTCGATCGACTTTTTGATTGTTTCTTTTTTTTTCGCGGGAAACATTTCTGTTTTACTGTATTATCAATTGCTAAAAGCTCATCTTGCAATTGATGCATTGATGCATCGTTTTCAATAGCTTGACCATTGAAATATTTTTTAGATGATCTTCTTACTCTGGTAATAATACTGGGAGATTGAGCGACTTTTTCTTCTGCATCAGATGCTCTCTCTTCAATAGTCCAGTTTTTTTTAGTCGAATGCTTGTGTCCCATGTCTACTAGTTTGTAATGATTGAAATATTCCACATGTAAATACGTTGTGTATTTTGTGTTCGTTCAAGCGTAAAATGAGATATTTTTATCGAATATATATATTTATTTATTAAGAAAGTATAAAAAAAGTGTCCTCTCAACTATACAGAATTAGAAAAAAAATGAGCATTAGTTATAAAACAAACTGACGAATGAATGTATAAATACTATCCAATATGAGATGCGGACCCGATGAATATTTTAATCGTTTACATTACTGTTATCTGGAATAAATATTATGAGCAACAACAAAAAATTCTAGCACGTTTCGAAGATACTGGTTTAAGTGTAGCTAATATAGCAGAATCAAATGTTTGTTTAAGATTTTCCTGTGTTAATGCTGAACATTCAATATATGCATATGCACCATATTCTTTTGCGGCACGTTCACCTTGTTCACGTGTTATTGGTTTTTGTTTTGATTTAGCTAATAATTCAACATCGGCTATACTTGTACGAAGATCACTTTTTGTACCAACTAGAATAAATGGTGTTGTACGCGATGATGGTGTTTGACGAATTTCATTAATCCATATTTTAAGAGCATTATTAAATGATGCAGGAGACATAACACTGAAGCAAACAAGAAATACATCGGTATTTGTATATGAAAATGCACGCATTAATTCATAGCCTTAAAATAAAAAAGAAGATGAAATCATATTGTATTCTGAAAAAAAAATTCTTACCACTTTGTCCAGCTGTATCAAAAAGAGCAAGTGTGTAAGGTTCACCACTAATCAGTATAGTAATTGAATAATTATCAAATACGGTCGGTACATATGACTGTGAAAATGTATTTGTCGTATATGACATAAGCATTGATGTTTTACCAACACAACCATCACCTACACAAACACATTTGATTGTTTTATTCGTATGATTACCATTAACTGGATGATTTGAAGATGATGACATCATCTAAAATGAATAGTATATTATATTATTTTTCACTTTATATATACATATACATATATGTACATGAAGAATAATAGTATGTTGTTGTCTATCGATCACGTTAGAAGAAAAAAATGAGATAAGAAAAAAAGAGAGAACAAAATATCAAACTCAAGTATTTACAGACATTTATATAAGTTGCCTATTGACAGAGAAAATACCATAAAATAAAAGTGAAGTATACATATAGATGATTATTTTTGATCAATAAAATACAAAATTATTCATTGATATGAAAGGAGCAAAAATGATCAATAATTCATGAATTTATTTTATACATTGAAAATTTTCAAATTAATAAATATATTAAATGATTGCAAACCGTATTTTGCTATAGCAAATTGTTCATTCAGCCATCTCTTAGAAAAAATTTGAGAAAATCTTCATATAACGCAAAATTTAGAAAAACATAATTCAGCGTTATAGGACTTATCTTTGTTACAATCATTTTAATTCATGGAATATTATTTTACGTAGAAAAAAAAACAATAAAAATTTTTAAACATATTTGACATGTTTAATATCACATAATGATTGTTCATTCTCTTGTGGAATTGCTAGTGGAACATGCTTTCTTAATTGATCTAATGCAAGAAGATTTTGCCTTCTTAAATCTTGTTCTTTATCTAATTTTGTTTGTAATTTATTTTGTTCAATTTTATATCGTTCTTTAGCTGTTTGAGAACGTTTTTCAACTAAATCAATACGTCGATCACATTCATTTTTTATTGTTTGATCATAATGATCAATTTTTCTTTCTAAATGTTCAACGCGTGTTTGTTTTTCAAGTAAATTTGTTTGCATTTGTAAATGATTACGACGATAAAATTCATTTTGTTCAGTTAATTTTTCTATATGTTCAATTAATTCTTTATTTTCTTGACGTTGTTGATCAAGAATTTGTTCGGATGAATTCGTTCGTATTGTCCAACGTGTATGAATTTTTTTTAATTCTAAATGTTCTTCTTGAAGTTTTTCTAAGATTTGATTTGTTTCATTAAATTTATTTTGAATTATTTCCAATTGATTTCGATAATAATCATTTTCAGATTTTAAACGCAAACAATCATCATGTACTTTCATATAAGCTGAACGAATAATAGAAATTTCATCGGATGTCCAAAGATTTTCGATATGATCGGATTTTTTTTCTGCATCTTCTTTTTCTTTATGTTTTTCAAGATATGATCGAATAAGACGAATATCAAGGACAGAATCAACAGGTTGTGTTTGATTAGCTTGTGTTTTTGTTTTACTTTGAATCTTTTTTTCATTATCTTCTTCTTGTTTAGCTAAACGTTGTATAAGTGTAAATAAATAAGATTGTTCATAAATAGCGGCTAATGTTGGAGCATCAAATGATGATAATGTTGTAATATAACGACGTACACGTTGATGATCAGGTTGAAATGTAGCACGATAATCTCGGATGGAATATTGAGGTGGAAAAAGGGATTCAACCCAATGAGATGATGGTGATGAACTCATCTAGAATTATTTTATTATGTTGTATTGTTCATGTGGTTTTCACTTTTCTGTTTCTCATTGGTATCCTATATACCATTGATTGTCATATGGCGACCTCCATTCAATTCTGTTAAGCGTTTATTGGTTAATATAACTAGTCTCTCAGCTGTACTATGTTGTGTTTTTCATCAAGTTCATTCTTATTTTTCTATTTTTGCGATTAAACATGATATTGTTTATTATTTAAATATAATCTTGAAATATTCTAATGCCATCATCAGCAGTTATTCGAGTTCAACAACAAGCATTAGTCAATCAAAATAATCACTCAAATTCGAATAGTGAAAGACATACAATAAGCATGTTTCGTTTATTTCTTCGTGCATTTGATTATATTTATTTAATAAATACAAAAATTTTCTTTTATTTATTGTTACTACTTAAACGATTATTAAGATTTCTTTTCGGTGTATGGACATTTCTATTTGTTACTTTACGTGGGTCAAAAAAAAAGGTATTGTTTTCATAAATAATAAATTTCAATTAAGAAAAAATTTCTTTTTTTTTTAGCTTATACAATTTCAATCTGTTAAATATTATAATTGTCCATTGCAACCATTATCACTTCATCGCTTACGTATGTATATATTCTTGTTTTATTTTAATGTTTATTTTATTTCTATTTTTATAGATTTTCTTCCAAAGAAAATTTTGGTTTTAGATTTAGATGAAACATTAATTCATTCACATCATGATGGTCTTACACGGGTTGTTACTGTTAAACCAACAGGACCACCAGATTTTATAGTTCGTGTAGAAATTGAAAGACATCCAGTTCGATTTTTTGTTTATAAACGACCACATGTTGATTATTTTCTTGAAACAGTATAAACAAACATTTTCTCAAAAAAAATAATTCATTTTTTTTGATCTATATTCTAGGTAAGTCAATGGTATGAACTTGTGGTATTTACAGCATCAATGGAAATATATGGTGCTGCTGTTACTGATAGATTAGATAATAATCGAAATATTCTTTCACGACGATATTTTCGTCAACATTGCACACTTGAATATGGAGCATATTCAAAAGATTTAGCTGTAATTAATAATGATCTTGCACGAATATTTATTTTGGATAATAGTCCTATTGCTTATCGATCATATCCATTAAATGCAATACCAAGTAAATCATTTATATTTATTTTTTTTCATATTTTATTAAATTTTGTTTTTTTTTATTTATTTAGTTAAGTCATGGTTTTTTGATCCATCAGATACATGTTTATTATCATTACTTCCGTTTCTCGATGCATTACGATTTTGTCGTGATGTTCGATCAGTATTAGGAATGAATTTACATTTACATCAGAACTTAACGGTGACAAGTACAACTGGATTAACTACGCAAGTTGTTCCATCGTCTGCGAGATAATAATTTTGATTACTATTATGATTACTATTATTTTTTTTTTCGTCTTCTTGTCTGTCTCTTTTTTTTTCTTTACTGTACATTGTTTTTGTGTGCGTGTGTGTGCATCTCATGACAGAGAAAATAAAACAAACAGCCCGGTTACGTGGCCAGAGAGAATATTTCTCGTTTTTTTTGTGGATCAAAAGAAAAATCTATATACTTAACTTGTTTTTTTTCTCTTTATTCAAAACTGAGAACATTAGTTACATACAATTTATTTTATTGTAAGCGTCAGCTGACACTTCAAGGTTATCTATGAGAAAGTTTTATCATAAAAAGTAATTTTGATAAATGGGTAGTTGTAGAAGAAAGAAAAAAAAATATGAATTAAGGAAGTTATTTTTCCGTAGTAGTTTTATTATCCTTCATTTACACTCGACTTGTTCTTCTATTATCTTTTCCTTGAAGCAGATGAAGTACGAACAGATTGTTCGATTTCTTATGTTGATTAAAATTATTATCGAATACCTTGTTAAATACTATAGATATAATCGAGCGAATATTTCTGAATGAGCAATAATCACTTCCATCTATATTCACTACTAATATACTCAAATCTTCTAAAAATAATTTATATAAATCAAGCATTAAATAATATATTTTCTATTTATCAATTAAATACTTTACAAAAGAAAAGATGAAATATAAATGATATCAGATAATATAATCAAAAATATTAATTAATATATTAAAAAATACATATGAAAACAGATCAAATATCTATATTCATTTAAAGCAATGGTGGGTGTATCATATGTACTGTATTATCCCTGTGTCTAGGCATGGTAATGTGTTATATTAAAGAATGTTTCAAAGAGTGATAGTATGCAAAGAGTTTATGCTATGTTCGAAAATTATAAAAATGGGATCGTATACATTCAAAAGGAAAACGCTATTATATTTGCTATTTTTCTGCTTGAGAGATCGAATAACGAAATTTCATTTAATTAAACCAGCAACGTATACTGAATAAGCACCTATTTCATTGTGTAATTCCAGTGACACATAATTCTACAACTCAAGTTGACAAACAGCAATGATGTATCGCTTATTGCAATAGTAATCAAGCAAGTATGGATAGTGAATTGCTTGATGGATCGAAAGATATAACTGTCAAAAGCGATACGCGTAGTCATTACTTAGCAATAATACACTACCCAAATCAAGTGAATCGTTGGTGTATATCTAAATTCGTGTCATTGAAAAATAACATTCATATATAAAACGTCAGCTTTTATCAACGAAATTAGCTTGAAAGATACATAATAATATTTATTTATTTAAACTGTAGAAAAAGAAATTTATACATTGTACATCGTATAAGTAATTTCAAGTGATAAGAAATATTTATCGCGATTGGATATTTTTTTAATATTCTATACTTTACTTGAATCATAATTTAAAACTAAGTGATGTAAATAAATAAGTTCGAAAAAAGATTTATACATTACATTCGTCCTTCTTGTAAAATAATTATTATAATCATTAAGAATACAGCTACGCAATATCAATGCAAACCCTTCTCTTACCACATACGGTTTTATAATTGTTTACTCATATAAAAATACGTCTATATTCATTTTATTACATTAAATAAGTCCAATGGTTTATCATTTGTCATACATATTCGGTATTTTTATTGCTCTATTACTCTTTCAATCTACTACTATGGCTAGCGATGATCTCACGTGTATATATATGCCCATCTGTATTAATATTTTACCACCATGTGTCATTCGAAAATACTGCTGGAAAGAGCCTTACTTTCAACCATTTCAGATTAAAAACAAACGTTACTCACATCGACGTTCTTTACCTGTTAACAAAGATTGATTCACTATCAATAACTTTTGACAATAAAGTTTTCAAGATTGATGAGATTATTCAGCAGTTTATGAAACAGTTTTAAAAGAAAAATATTTAACAGCATGATATCAATGATTTTTCTTAAACATATTATTTTCATTTTAAATATATCAACTATAAATAATGTAGAAAATAAGTTACAGACATGAACAGATATTATTTCAATGATTTATAATCATGTGTTGAAATATCGTCATTGTTGATGATCTAAATATATATATATATATCGATGTTTTTCTTCTAAAGAAAACTACATGAAAGATAATGATGTCATTTATAACTATTAGTACAATCTCTATATAGATCACATGAGCATTAGTAGGAGACTGAGACGAGAAACAATACTATCTTTTTGACTTGTCAACATATGCCAGATATAAAAAATAATATCCGAGTGTGGGGAATTTTACCCAGACATATGTTGATGTATATATATATATCATGATTATTTTATAGATAGAAAGGTTTGAATTGCGTACAAAAAAAACAAACTGTTTATTTACAATGAGAAATATTGTTCTTGGAATTCTTATTTTATTTCTTGGAATTTTGATCATTGTTTGTCAAAGTCAAACTACAAAGAAATCAAAAGTCTCTGCTAAAAATACTAGTTCTCGTCGATGTCAAAAACCAAAAAATGGTCAACATATATGTTTTTGTGGAAAAAACAAAACCGAATTCGATCGTCTTAAAGGAGAAAGATGTGTACTTGGTAAAATAGTTCAGTCAAGGTAGATGAAAATATTCTTGACAATAAAATTAATAATATATATATTTTCTAGTGCTCAATCAAAACCTTCTGCTCTTCGATTAACAACTAAACCAATTCATCAATCTGCTCGTGATGATAATGAAAAACTATTAGGATGTTCCGGACTCATATTTAAACCATCAACCGATGAAGATCGAAAAGCATATGTTCCACTTCGTAATGTATCTGTCGAAGCTTGGATTGATTCTTTTGCTGCTGATGTTACATTGACGCAAGTATTTTTTAATCAAGAAGAAAATAATATCGAAGCAATTTATGTATTTCCTATAGAGGTATATTATATTTCATTTTTAATAACTAAATATAGAAAAAACTTATTTATTGGTTAATAGGAAAATGCTGCTGTTTATTCGTTTACAGCTCAAATCGATGATCGAACAATTATAGCGACGTTAAAGGAAAAGAAAGTAGCAGAAGAAGAATATGATTCAGCTATAAAACAAGGTCAAACAGCAGTTTTAATGAGACAAAGTAAAAAAACATTGGATACATTTACAGTAAAGATTTTACTATAATAAATTATTTCTAATAACATAAATTGAATAACTTTATTTAGATTAATATAGGTGCTTTACCACCTGGAAAAGAATGTCGAGTAAAAATTCAATATGTAACTGAATTAGATTTGATTGATGGTAGTTCTATTCGATTTGTTATTCCTACTACGATTGCTCCACGTTATAATCCATCATTGGGTCATTTACAATCACCTGATAATACCAATAGTGAATATGTTCAAAAGACTCCATATTCAATGTGGTTTCAAGCCCATGTTCTTCGAAATGAACAATGTAAGTTAAAATTTATTAATAAAATAAAATCAACGTTATATAATTGTAGATAAAATTACACAAGTAGCAAATCTTTCACATGCAGTAAATGTTAGTATGTCACCTAAATCAATCGATGTTTCATTACAAGGTATTGCTCTTGATCGTGACATTATTTTGGATATTGATCTACCAAATAATCGACCAATGACACATGTTTCTATCGAACAATTTAATGATACTTCAGATCATGCTATTCTTCTTGCATTTACTCCAAGTCTTTCTGATTTGATGAAAGTTTCTTCTGACAATAATGAAGCTAATACAGAATTTATTTTTATTGGTAAAACTCAATAGAACTTTTTTTCTAATTAAAATAATATACATATGATTATATTGTTTTTGTAGTGGATTGTTCAGGTTCAATGTCAGAAGGCAGTCGTATCGGTCTTGCTAAAGAAGCTCTGCTTCTATTCATACGTAGTTTACCTGTTGGTTCTCATTTTAATATTATTCGTTTTGGATCAAGATTCGATATTCTTTTCAAAGATGAAGTTTTGACAACTGTTTATAATGAAGAAACTGCAAAAAAAGCAGAAGAACTTACAAATTCAATATCAGCAGATTTTGGTGGTACAGAATTACTTGAACCACTGAAATATTTAAAAGATCATCCACCAATTAATAATCGATCAAGACAAATTTTTCTATTGACTGATGGAGAAATTTCCAATACAGATGAAGTAAGAAATGCAATTCTTTTTACAGATATCTTTATTTTATTACAGGTAATTGAACTATGTCGTTCAATGTCTTCATCAACACGTATATTTTCTTTTGGTCTTGGTGATTCAGCATCACGTTCATTGGTAAAAGGTCTTGCTCGTACTACGAACGGTTATTTTATTTTCATCCCACCTAATGCCAAAGTCGATACATATGTTGGTAGTCAATTTGGTCGAGCTCTTCAACCATCACTAGTCAATGCTCGACTTCAATGGCATGGTTTATCTACTAATGGATCACAAGCTCCGAAAACAATTCCACCTATCTATGTCGATGATCGTGTGCTGGTTTATCAATTGTTGGAAGGTAATGAATTGAAAGGACACAATATCAGTGTGGATCTGATGATTGGTGAACAAAAGATTAATTCAATTCAGCTAAATAGTAATATAATACAGAAAAAAGATACAATACGTCGATTAGCTGCAAAAGCTTTGATACAAGAATTACAACATGAAAATTACAATCTACAACAAGAAAAGTATGTACAAAACATAATTAAGATTTTGTGATGAACTAATTTTAATAATTTGTTTTTATATTTCTATTAGTAACGATAATTCAACACTTGAACAACGCATTACTAAACTATCACTAAATCATCAAATTCTGTCACCTTATACAGCGTTTGTTGGTGTAGAAACTACTAGTCCAAAGAACAATAATACTTACTCTAAAGTTCGTCATATACCAATTCAAATATCAAACGATGATAAACATTTACTAAATTTTCAACCATCATATCAATCTTCGCAATATAGTAATCTAGCACCTATGCCAATGATGGCTTCATCTTACTCAGGGATGAGACCATCACCATGGCGTTCTCCTTCCTACAAGTATCGCGCACATTATCAATCGGGGTAAGTATTTCTCTTGAATATTTTGTAAAATAAGATGAACAATATTGGCTGCAACTAAATATTCTCATTTCTTCGCCATCACAGAATAATAAAGCTTACAAGCAAGCAAGTGAAATATCTGCACAATGTGAAATTCTTGTTTTTTAACGAGACTATCAGAGTACTATCTTGAATGAATAGAGTATTTTTTAATTACATTTTCTGAATTTCAATTACGATGAACTGATGCGTTTAATAGATTCCATATGCATATCACTTCAATTTTTTTGTATTTTATTATAGCCATATTGGTTCATCTGGTCTATTTGATCTACCTAGTCTAGCTGGTCCATCTAGTATGTCTGGTCATATATCGTATGATAGCATCGGTTTTGGTACTAGTAGTATTAGTACTACTACCAGCTCACTCTTATCCACCGATCCTGTTCGTTGGTTAGTTAATCAACAGTTATTCAGCGGAGCATGGTTATTAAACGATGAAGACATTAAAAAGCTGACCAATGGTAAAACATTAAGCACATTTACATCAACTATTACTCAAAATAGAGATGCTCTGTCAACAGCACTTGCCGTAGCTGTACTTGAATCGAAATATGCTGATCAAAAGAATCTTTGGAATGCAGTCGTAGCAAAAGGACGCAAACAACTTGAAAATTTTGGTGTTAAAAACGACCAAATCGATATACTTATCAATGACATGAAGAAGAAACTGTAATATTTCAATACTTTTATTACATGTAGCTAGTGAGATATTTAATCTCTTGAGAAAAATATGTAGTTCCATATATTTGAAAATAAAATAAATATATCAGTACATGAAATGTATTAATTATATTAAATTCACCATATTATCAATATACTACTATGAATTATGGGATTATTGAATGACGACGAATAGATAAAATCTAACAGTAGTTTATTAATAAAAATATTGCTGCGTTCTTTGCCACTATTTATTTTAAATATTCGATTATTGATAAAGTATTGTATATATGATTAAATAATACAGTTACAATTTATAATTACTGTATATTTCGTTGTCCGTCTAATATTTTTACTATTTAACTTATAATTTTCTATACAATTCAAATAAAATACAAGAAATGAGAAGTTTTTTCTTTTACCTTTATTTATTTAGTAGACATATTTTACATATTTAACATTATATCACTAACGTTATATATATGTTCTTAGTCTTTACATTTAATCATCCTAGTATTGTATGACTACCTTTTGAATATGATAAGATAATATATATATATATTATTTGCTTGTCTCTATACCTTGTCACTTGAGAAGATTACAACTTAAGAAAGGTCGTAGAATGAAACGTTACGTATCGAATCTACCTCAATTAAATCTAATACCTCGATTACCAAAAAACCCTCAAAATTTTTCAATTATTTCAATTGGTGCTGGTGCAATTGTTACTTTAGGACATCTTCCAGCTTATGAATTAGCTGGATTTTCTGTTCAAGGTATTTATGATATTGATCGACATAAAGCATTAGATGTAGCAAACAAATGGAATATTCCAAATGTATATGATACAATAAATGAAGCATGTACAGAATCAATAAATAAAAATGTTATATTTGATATAGCTGTTCCATCGAAACAAATCATATCTATTCTTAAACAACTTCCAATAAATTCTCATGTACTCATTCAAAAACCAATGGGTGAAAATCTTATCGATGCTCAAGCAATTGTTAATATATGCAAAGAACGTCATATTCATGGTTCTGTTAATTTCCAACTTCGTTATGCTCCGTATATTCTTGCTCTTAAAGATGCTATAAATCGTGGTTGGTTAGGTGATAGATTAACTACGATTGAAATACATGTTAATGTTCATACAGCATGGTCATCATGGCCATTTTTAGCTACAGCACCACGTCTTGAACTTATTTATCATTCTATACATTATGTTGATTTAATACGTGACCTATTAGCACCGAATGAACCTAGTTCATTACATTGTCGAACGAGTCAACATGCAGTAATGCCACATTTAACACCAGTACGATCATCTTATTCATTCGAATATAAACATGATCCAATGTTATTTGTTAATATATATACAAATCATCATCATCGATGGAATAAAAATCATGCTCAATCATATTTACTTATTGAAGGAACTGGTGGTGCAGCTAAAGCACAAATTGGTGATAATCTTGCTTATGGAGAAAATACAGCAGGAAAACAAATAGATTATTTACAAGTAAAAATTTAATTCTTTTTGAAATTATTATCATATACTTTCTTTTTTTATATCAAGATTTGTTCGGATAAAATAACGAATGGTGAATGGATTGATATTGATTTACAAGGTCGAAATCGTTTTCCTCATGCATTCATTGGACCAATGGCCGCAGCTATGTGTCGTTATGAGAATGAAGATGATCGACCTTCAACTGATATTGAAGATGCACTTAAAACAATGACAATACTTGAAGCAGCATGGGAAAGTTCAACAAATAATATGACTCCAATTTCATATAAATAAATTTTTTTGATATATATAACTATTATTTAAATTATTCTTCTCTTGTAGAAAAAGATGCACTTACTGGTAGCATAAAATACTAAAAAGTACTCGACGGAATTTGAAAAATATCTATAGTTTGGTAGATTTTCACTTGAATTAATTTCTTCAATGCTTTAAATAACATATAAACGATCTATCTTATAGATATGTAAAAATGTATCTCTAGAGACATTATCATTGTTGACACTACAATGTTATTCTATCGGATGAAAGCAGATATATTCTCTAGTGAGAAGAATTCATTTTGACAAACAACTATTCAGTAGTATAATACTTTAGTTAATAAATAGAGATTTTCTAATCATTAAATTTTTCTCTTTATAATTAAATAAAATTGAAAATTTTAATTTTAACGATTAATTTCACAAGTATTTATTTATCCAAAAAGAAAAATTATATTTTATATGTACATTTTTATATTTGATCATTGATATGAGTATCTAATAAACAACTCGATCTCCATCCTGTATCTCGTGCATTTTGTGTTATTGATGATGGTGTTAAACCACCACAATTTGTTTGACTTGTACATGAATGTCTATATAGTTTATGATAATTTGGTTGTGGAATATCTAAATATTTTGTATTACTATAATTTAATTTAACAAGACTTTGATCTTTATTATTTTTTGTTGTCGGTAAAATACTAACAGATAATGAACGATATCGTTGTTTTTCTTCATAATTATTATACATTCGATGTGATGGTTGTGGTGTTGATGTTCGACGATGATTAACAGCATTCATCATATCTGTATGAAGAATTGAAACTAAACTTGATTTTGTTTTCATATGTATTGTTTTCATTAAAACATGACGAAATTCTGTACCAGATATACAATAACTAAGTATACTTGCATAATTAAAATACATTAATATATTATATATAGTCCATTGTATTCGTCGACAACGTATTGAATCAAATGAAACTTTATTTGATAATAAATCAATGATAAATGCTGTAACTGGTAAAGTTGTTGCAACAAAAACAAATGATGAACATATCATCATAAGACATAATGAACGTAAACGATTCGTTGCTTTTGAACGACAAACTAAATCAGTTTTTTTACTTGAATTTGATACAAGAAATACACGATTAATAACTGTTAAATTACATAAAATAATAAATATAAATGGTATTATTGTAACAAGAAACATATCAATCCATGTATAAATACGTTCAAAAAAATAAATATAACTTTCATGTAAATAACATTGTTGATATTGGAATGGATTAACAGTTGAACGATTTGAATTTATAATATTTTTATCTTCACCTTGAACAAATATTAATAAATGAATATTAGATATAGATAGAATTGTAAGTACAACGCTTGAATTTATTGTTGCTTGTCGTGTACGACACCATTTTGAAGTAAATATAGGAAATTTAACAGCAACATAACGATCTAAATTTAAACAACATCGAAACCATGATGATAAATGAAGAGTATTACTAAAAACAAAAATTATATTTCTTTCTAATTTAAAATTTATAACTTACTAGAAAAAGAAAACATGTAATTTACATAATAATGTTCCTTGAATATGTATATGAAGATTGGATGATAAAAGTAATTCACGTAATAAACCAATATATAAAACAATAGTATCAGCAATAGACATAAATGTTAAATAACGATATACACTATGTTGTCGCATTTGAATTAAAACTATTAATGATAATAAATTACCTATTGTTCCAATTACAAGTAAAATTGGATATGTATATAATTCAATTTGATGGGCAATTTCTTCTCGTTCTGAACAATTCATTATTTAAGAAATTCTTATAGTTAATTTACATATCAATTGATTTCTAAAATTTAACAAATATATATATTTTTTTTCAAAACAAACATTCATTTTTATCTAGGCATCATCAAAATGATGAATACCAACTGATTATATTATCTATTTAAAATAAGAGGGAGAGAGAGAGAGAGAGGGAGACAAAAAAAAGACAGAAGAACATCATATAATATAATTATGATTAACGAGTCTAAAGTACATACTAAGTTATGGAAACAGCTAAAACTACAAGCAAACTTTCATCACTTGAAAATATTGTATTATTCATCAAACATCAACAATGAAAGAGGATAAAGAATACCAATACGCGTAACAAACTGAATTAGCCGTTTGCAATGACATATACAGAAAAAAAGAAGAATGGCAAAAAGCTTATACGTTTTTTCTTGCCCCTCTAATTATAATGTGAAAAAAATGAATATTCTGTTTTTTTGTCTCTACAAATGAAGAATAACAAAATCTTATTCTCATATTTTCTATTATTATGATTATTTTACGAATAAAAAACAAAAAATAATAAGCAAAAAGAAATATTACTATTCAATGTTTGTAGGTGTAAATATGATATATTATTTGAATCTCTAATCGTTTTTGTTACAATGTAATGTTCATTAATTTTGTATTAACTAAGTAGAAAAAATACATTTGTATTACTTCGATGTTTTTGTTACTTATTCTGAAGAAATAATATTGTTGTTTTTGTTGTCTATATATGTATGTCTAGAATCTTATCCTTTTATTATCCTGTCATACGATAGTAGACTGATCTTTCATCATTGTCCGTCTACAATAGTAGTTGTTTCTATTCATACAATAGAATATAGTTTCTATATATCTTGACAAATATTGAAAACCAGAAGAAACTTACGCGAAGATATACACCTGATTGATTAGAATAAGACAATCAGCTATGATCTTGATATATGAGATGGGATGAGAAGTATAAAAAAAAAGAAACATTAGATATCAACGAACAACCATCTTGATAATGTTAGTTGTCAATACGTTTGTTCAGTTATCATTTCTCCGATGTTATACGTTGATATTATTAGGAGAAAGAGAATAGAAAGAATACTCAAAAACATGAATGTTTATGTTAGAAAAAAAATCAGAATAATATAATAATAACGTTAGCTAATCTTACCAAGAAGAACATTTAGATTTCTTTTATCGTGAATGTATATTTATTTAATGGTTGTGCGTTTTTTTTTTCTTCTCCTCTTGATTCTTCCTTTTTGATTGTAGTATCTCAAGCAATTAATATGTCCTTTGAGGTTCTTTTCTATGTCAAAAAGAAAATACAACTCTAAAGTGGAATGTCATTCCAAATTAACGCTAAGCATTTCTTTCCTATTCTTATTCTTCTTCGTTTTTTCTGTTGAATGCGCGTGGAAACAATAATCAATGAATAATACATATAACTATCATACTATAAGAGAAAAATAGAGAGGTCAATATAAATAGATTACATCATTCCAGATGGAACAAAAACTAGGAAGTAACACGAGCTTCATCCCTACTAGAGTGCCAACTCAATAACACTTTCTCAGTTCAAGTCCAAGGTTACATACATTGTCATTATTATCATCATCATTATCAAGAAGCGAAATATTTCTGTCGATGTTATACAGATGTAAATGAGGTGTACTGTTATGCGTATATAACTTTGTGTTAACCGATTTTCCATTCGACAGACTTGTCAATATACATAAAACAGAGTCATGTAGTGTAATTACACAGAAAATATATATGCTATATAGGATAAAAATCGATATTTTTTACAACTACTGATAACTGTTATTTTTAAATGACTTTTAAATAATATCTCTCTCGCGTTTATTATTTATCAACCAAAACAAAAAACAATCATCATTATTCAATTTACTATACAAAAAAAGAAACCTTGAACTATTTTATTTCATTAATAACCCACCCATCTATATTGAAAGTATACTGACTAGCCTGGTAATGATTAAAACATAGAAGACATATATTACTAAATAACAAATAGCTTTTCGACGTAAATAGGAAAAAAAGAAAGCGAACAAGAAAAACAAATGTATCTCTCGATCGACAATATAACCATTATAATAATCGTTTTGTACTATCCCAAAAAAAAAATCATATAGGAAAGAAAACAGTTTCTTTTCCTAACATAGATATCAATTATACATGTTTTAAAAATTAAAGGTCTAATTATATTATCTTATAATAAGGACAAAAAATTAAGATTAATAAGAATGATCTTGTCTGACATATATAATTAATTGTTGTAATTAACTAAATCATATCATGTCAATAGCATTTACGCATATTTATCAATATGAAGGTATTCATTTCAACACTGACTATCGAAATGAAAGATCAAGGAAATATCTATTTATCATTAGAAAAAATTAATTACTCCTTATTAATTTTAATAATATTTATTTATTTTAATTTACAATAAAATCATTCATACATATTCAAAATAAAAATAATTTATGACATACAAAATTGTATAGGACCTTGTTGTTCAACTAATTTTTTTGTTAAAATTTTATTATTAGCAACTTTTTTATCATGACGATGTATTTTTAATTCTTGTGTATATTTTTGTTCAAACATTGATACATAACCATTTGGTTGACAATATTGTTTACAAGATGAATGATTAAAGAAATCCGAATAACCACCATCAAGTAAATAAATTGATGGAAATGATAAATATGGATAATTTGAAATATTATATTGACGATCTAATGAACGAAATAAACGACAAAGACGTGGACCACGTTCAGAAGAAAATTCACAGTGAAATATAATTTTTGATGGACGAGATGATGATGATGTTATTAATTTTGTAAATAATAAACGAAGCTCATGTTCAGTATAGATATTTTGTGCTGAAGTAATATGACCACCGGAATATTCAAATGGATAACGTGCATCAATTATACATAAATTATCAGGTTGTTCATCAAGAAGAGTGGCAAGCTAAAAAAAGAATATTATATATAAAATCGAAAAATGGTATAATAAATATTACAGTTTGTGATGAAATACGTTTGAGATCAGGATGTGCTGTACGTTTAACTAATGGTATTGATGATTGTTCATCGAAAAGTATTTGAAGATTTTTAACTACCGATGTATTTCTTGATTCCATATGAGATTTTGAATGCATTATTGGTGATGAAAATAATGGTGATAGTGAATTAAGATGATGAGACATTATAGCGACCTGTATAGATAAATAAATAAAATGAAATATAATTTCGAAAAAATAGTATATTTTATTTCTTTTCTCATATATGAGAAGAGACAAGTTCATTTTAATCATCCGAGTGATTATTATATTATCAAACAATACAAAATGCTTTTCCAATTAGAATATATAGATCAATTATCATATCCTGTCTTGATTTCGTAATTGGTTAAACAAAATATCCGATAAGTGGAATAGAAATACATGTATTCCGAAAACAAACAATTAGATATATAGTGACATGCACATACAGCTCAATGTAAAAGATTCATATAAAGACTATAACTATATGTAAAAGTAGAAATCATTTTCTTACCGCCATTTTTTGTTGAAATGAATGAAATGATATTCTCTCGACGTTATCAGTAGCTTTTTATACTGATGATTGTTACGCATCATCTCTGATAATCAATCAATTATAATCAATATAGGTGCGCAGATGCCTATTTTTTTATTTTGTTGTTATTATTAGCTAACAAGGTAATAATGTACAATAAAAAGAAATGAAAAGAGTGCACCAGGATGAAAACAAACAAATCAATGAAGACCATGACAAATATATACGCTATAATTAATGGATGAAAAGAAGAAAAAAACAAAGTTTTTATATAATTTCAATTATTGATACAGTTTATCTTTTAAATTTGAATATTGTTGACCAAAAAGTTCACATTCATATTCAAATAATTGTCGAAGAAAACCAAGATTTGGACAAACAATTGGACGACGTTGACGTACAAATTTATATGCTTCCGTTAATGTTGCATTATATGTTTTCATTAAATAAGCAAGTGTTACTGTTGTTGATCTCGATATACCTAGATTGCAATGAACAAGTATACGATTTGATGAATTTTCGAATGCTGTTTCCATAAATTGTATTGTTGCACCAAAACGATCTTTAAGTAAAACATCTTCCATATCTTCTAATTGTAAATGTAAATATGTTATTTTATCTGGAAATACACATTGATGTTCAAATGATATATTAATAATATGTGTTATTTTAAGATCACGTACAACCTTCCAATTTGTCGCCTGATGACCAGTGCCTTGAAAAAAAGAAATGAATTAAATATAAGAAAAATAGTTTAATTCTTTTACCAAGATAAAGTTGATCATCAAGAACAACAGATGGATAAATTGTAAGAAATTTTTCTCGATCAACAATTGAACGTACATCCGTTTTTGTACAAAGAAATGGAAATAATGCATGAAATGCTGGAAAACCACCACTTAATACTAAACATAATTTTGAACCAGAAGTTATAAAACGATTACTAACACGATTCATTTCTGTTGTTGTATTGAAGACGATACCGTGATCATCATAGAGAACGATTTCACTAAAACGTTCGACTAATGATATGTAGACAGTACCATCTAATGCATCTTCCCAATGAATAGCTATAGAGAGAAAGATGAGTAATCTAATAAGTCAATTGTGGAATCAATGTATTTTTAGTATCATAATAAAACTAAATAAAACAAATCCGTTAGAATTTTTAGTTATATTTAGATGAAATGTGTCAAATCTTTTTTTAGTTTATTTAATACGACGTAGTAGTTTGATTAATGTCTGACGTCTTTTTTTTTATGAGTTTATTGACATAAATCAGCGTTGAAAGAAAGAAGCAGAACCTTTAAAATATGCTTCCAGAAAGAAAACAATCATACGATTAATGCCGGTTAAAAACTGGTTCGTGTTAAATTACAAGGGAAAAAAAGTTAATGTTTATTTAAAGCAGTTATTCTTTTTTTTTTCATTTTAATATTAAGAGGAAAAAAAAATACCTGTGATGATATGATTTTCATCAAATTTTTCTTTAGTTCGACAATCAATGATATATAAATAATGCGCAAGCATAAATAAATACTGATTTTGTAATCCATAACCCATCATATTAAATAATTTTGACGCTGTGACATAACCAGGTTGACCGGAGGCTGTTGCTGGTAGTATACATTTAGGTTTAGGTCGTATTGGTCCATGTGCTAATGAATGATTTATAGCTCTATCACTACCTGAACCATTTATATTTGACTGCTGTGATTTAAGATTATTTGAAAGAGATAAAAATGATTGAACATCCGTATTTGATCGTCCTCTCATTTGTGGTAATCCTCCTTCGTAATGTATTGAAACACGACGAGGTGACTCTGATCTTTGTGTATGTGTGGATGCTGAAGGTTTTTGATAGGATCCATTGGATTTTTTTGGTGAATCTATTTGTTTTTTAGTAGAATGTTTTTCATTATTCGAACTATTCTCTTCATATTGTGTTGAAAAATGGGATACTGATGAACTTTTAAGTGGGTTAGTCGACAAAGAATCTGAATTGTGTTCAGTAACTCGAGTCATCGGCATAGCTTTTGTAACTGCTGCAGAAACTGGTAGAATTTCACTTGACTGTTCACTTTAACGAACGTAAAAGAAAAGAAGAAAAGATATCAATGTGAGGGAAAGAAAGAAAGAAAGAAAAAATATATATATATCAAAAGACGATTATTCCTGTTGGAAGGAGAAGAAGAAAAAAAGAATAATAACACTTTTTTTTGAATAGAATTTTATCGAATCAAAGAAAATTATGCATAAGATAAGCTTAAGATACTTTTCTATTTACCTATTTCTACGTCGACCTGAATAATCGTATGATGAAGATGACAACGGCATATATTAAAAATTTCTTTGATGCGATATTTATATTTGAAAATGGAATTTGGAAGAATAATTTTTGTCTACACGCCCTTCTTTGTTTCTGTGTCCAAGCTCATGCGCAAATGATTAAATCACCTATGTCGCATTTCTTTTTTTTTCCAATCGTAAGGCGTTGAAAAAATTTAAACAACAGAAAAGTTTATGTAAACTTTGTAACCGTGTAAACAAAACAAAGGTATGCACTGCCGAACAGCTCCGATGTAGTCAAGTAAAGAAAAGACATTAAATATGAATGATAATCAACAATATTTTAATTAAAATTAACTTTTTTTTTTTAGTTTCCAAGTTAAAAACAAGATACACTCGTTGTTCTATATTTATTTACTTTAAAACTCTTAAATAATAACCTTCAACATAGTCATAACAGAAAGATTTATTATTCTCTTATTAGTTTACATACACACGCACACACCTTCTTTTCTTACTATAAAAAAAGCTACCTCATATTTCAATAATTATATACTATCTTTTGTTTAAATTATATTATAATTTTATTTTTGAAATAAGAAAAAAAAAAAGAAAAAAATAAACATACACAAAGATGTGTGCACAATGAAGAAAAACAAAAGACAAACATCACCACACTATAGATTCGATTTGAATACGATGAAAGAGACTAAAATTGCTCAGTATTCGTTTTGATTTTAATAAGATTATATAAGTGCATTTGTGAAGATATAGGTTCGATAAGAAAAAAAACTGATAGAAATAATGTATGCATGCAGTGTATAATCATCGAAATATTGCGTATTTATTGCGAACAAAACACCAAAAAAAAAGGAATTTTCGAACAGAAAAGATTATTGACTGACTGCGTTGGTATTAGTTACTCATTGAGTGCGCGCACACAAAAGGAACAAGAAAAACGAAGAAAAAGAAATTTAAGAGGCACTTGTACTTTGTCCCTTTCTTTATAGATTGAAGTATTTCAACGTGGATGATAACGTCCAATTGTTTTAAGATTTTCAACAAATGTTCCACGTGCTACTTCAGGTCGACGATCATCACCGGCTACCATCCCGGGTACCTTGGTTATTGATTGAATAATAAATAATGTTAAAAGAAAAGAAATAATTTTTTTCTTACCACATCTGAATCAACAAAAATACAACCATTTTCAGCAAGTTCTGCTCGTTTAACTTCAATCTCACGTTCATTCACACCTCGACATGCATCTTCAATTAATACAGTTCGATAATTATTTTCAACAGCATGCATTGCTGTTGCAGCTAACATAATAAAAAATAAGAAAAGAAAAGCAAATGAAATTTTTTTTCTAATAGAAACTAAACATACAAACACAGACATCTGTTGCTAAACCAACAACATAAACATCAGTTACAAAACGTTCTCGTAGTTGATCATCAAGACTTGTTTTACTTAATTTCATATTATCCCAAAATGCTGAATAGGAATCGATTTCAGGATTTGTTCCTTTATAAACATGTATAGCATTATCAATACGAATTAAATCTGGATGTAAATCTGCACCAGGGGTTTTCTGTATACAATGAGCTGGCCAAAGAACTTGTTCGATTGTTGAAGTAAGATTCGGTGGTCCAACAAATAGAACAGTATCAAGTATATGTGCATCATCAGCTCTAATTGGACTTTCAGGTGCTTCTTTTCTTAAATGTCGATTTTCATAAAATGATATATGATTTAATGGATGCCAATCGTATGTATATGCAACAACATCAAAATTAACATTACGAATAACTCGATTAATAACAGGAACAACTTCTTCTCCTAGAAAATATAAAAGAAAAATTTATTGTCAATAATCGAACAAAACAAAACTACCTTGATGATTAGCAGGACAGGAATGAAGAGCTAATGAACCAGAAATAAAATCATTTTGAACATCGACTATAACAAGTGCACTAATAGGTCTTACAGCCTATTTGAAGGGAAAAAAAGAAAAACTTGAATAAAAGAAATCAAAAGTCTTCATAAAATATATTTACTAGCTTAATTGTTGTTTTCCATGCTAGAATAAATTCATTATAATCAATTTTTTCATCTTGATTAAAATCTGTATCTTGAAAATATTCTTCAATTCTATCATTTAACATAAAATAGGGTCGTTGTTTATTAGAAAAAAATGCACTAATAAAACGACGAAAATCTTCGCGAGTCCAAAATCCTCGCCTTAAAAAGAAACAAAACAATGACATTATTTTAAATAAAAATATAAATTTACTTTTGTGAATCAAAAAATCTAAACAAATTTTCATATTCTTCATCTGAGAATTGATTTTGTCTTAATGAAGTAAATGGATCATAATCATAAGGTGCTGGTGACATTGATGATACTTCAAAAAAAAGAATTTAATTATATTCAAATAAATGAATAACACTTCTATGAAGAGGACAAAAAAAACTCAGACAAACTAACCTTTGCCTCCCATTAAAATAATCTCAAAACAAAAATAATTAATCGAATTCAAAATTTGTACATTGATATTTAAAAAAGATGGAGTATGAAAAATTAAATTATTCAAAGTAATGGAATTTCGTTGAATAAATAAATCAATAGAAATACGCATTGCAATCGAAAGTAAGTTTTGTATTTCATTTGTGTTCTTAATTGTAAATAGTAAGTATGTAATAACGTTTTTTTTTCTCTAGTCGTTACTTTTCCCTTCTTCTTCTTCTTTTTTTTTTTTCTTTTAAGCTTGACTATTATCGGAAAATATTAAGAAATGCAGTAAGTAAAGGGAGGAGAATAGTAATAGTTATTGTAGTAGTAAATATGGCAAGAAAATAATGTTGATAGTAGCTGACTGACTACTATAAAATTGAGCGATGTGAAACAATTAACGGCCTAACGATCGGTAGCAAAAGACAGGCAGACATAGAACAAAAAATGAGTGAACGAGAGCAAAAGAGAAAAAAAAATTGAACGTTAGTTCTCGTACGCATTACTCAGTTACCGTTTTTTGCTTCATTTTTATTTGCCCGTTCACATAGAACAATCTTATCTCGTTTGTCGTATTAAAGTCTTTATTTTGTTGTTGTTGTTAGTGTTATTGACGTCATACAATTTAATACTGATGATGATTTGTGATTAAACTGTGGAGAGAGAGAAAGAGAGAAAGAAGTTAATATACATATATAGATTTATATGTTTGCATGAGAAACTATTTCAATGAAGAAAAAGAAAAATTTAGCTAATCCTACAATAAAAAAAACAGACGTAAACATGTTTTTAGTATTTATTTAGAAGTCTTTGTCTCGTCTAGTTTGATGAATAATAATAATAATAATAAATCTCGGAAGTGTTGTAAATATGATAATAAATATCAAATCTTCCAGTCTACGGATAAACTTAATCTGTTACTAAACACTTATCAATAGAAAATGAATGTAATATCATGTATCAATAATTTACTAATATGACATACCTGTGCAACAGTAATGAGAACGAAAGGTGAATAGAATATTCTTGTGATGAATTGAAATTGTGTTATGTCTATTATAATCACGACTATAAAAATAACTTTAAAAAAGAAAGTGAGAATAAAAAAAGAAGAAGGAAAAAGAAAAAGAAAAGGAACTAATCACTTCAGCATAACTATCGATTTTCAATTCTTTCTTTTTACATAGTTATTGTCTTCAATAGATTTTTTTTCTTCTTCAGAAGAATTCCGAATATAATATAAGAATCCTTTGAAATGTAATTCAATTTCTCGTAGAATTTTCGGCTCTTATCCTTATTAAAGCTAAGAATTTTTATGTAATACAAACTTTTTTTTTCTTCCTATTAACCACGTAATGCCATCTTTCGATAAATGCATACATATGTTATTTTATCCATAGTTTACCATTGATCATCTGGTTTTATTTTCTTTTTTTTTGCTGTTTATTTTAAAAAACGATATATTGCTGATGCAAGGTTTTCTTTTTCTCATTTAAGATTTTTCTATTTTGTCTTTATTATTAACTAAACAAATGAGTCTACTATCAAATTGTTTATTTGTACGTCAAGTACTTTATCGTACTGGTGCTTTTTCACCATCAACATTCGTGAATGCATCTCGTTTATCAACAGTATTTAGGTAGTTGTGCTGAATTTTTCTTTCATATTTTGTTCATTTTTTTTAAATTTCTAAGTGTTAGTTTAGATATGCATCTACTAATTCATCTGCACAAGAACAGAAACAAAATGAAACAACACCATCTTCAGCAGATCAACCTATAGAAAATCAAACTCAAACAGAACAAAAATCGAATGTTGATTTGAAACAACTTCAAGAACAAAATGCGAAATTAACTGAAGATGCTAATGAATTTAAGGTAAGACTATCTTTATTACAGACTATTATTTCCAAGAGTTCCTTTATATACATATTCAATTAGACTTCAGTATGACAATTTTAATTGTATATTTATGATAGATTTTTATCGCTAAGGTCAAACAATCAGATGATATGACTGTATATTTAACCTTGTTAGATTACACGGAAGTCATATTCGAAAGTTGATATATGATAGCAAGATTTATGAAGAGAATGTAATATTAGCAATCTGTGTGACATTTTGAACTATGTGTCTGACTGAAGTCGTATATATCATAGCATAAATTATAATGATAAGTTGATCTCTAATCTAAGCAGAAATATTATGTAATCCGTAAAAATAGATGTCATGGTTGATGGATTTGAATGACATATTTTGATAAAATATTTTTTTATTCATTATAGGATCGTTATAGACGTGCATTAGCTGAAACTGAAAATACTCGAGTTCGTTTTAATAAACTTGTTAATGATGCAAAAGTCTTTGGCATTCAAGGATTTTGTAAGGATTTACTTGAAGTCGCTGATATACTTAATCTAGCATTAGCAAATACACCACAACAACCATCAACTGATATAACAGCATTAACCAAAGATTTTAATAATCTCCGTCAAGGTCTTGTAATGACTGAAGAAAGAATGCAAAAAATATTCGCTAAAAACGGTCTTGTACAAATCAAACCAAATGAAGGTGATAAATTTGATCCAAACTTTCATGATGCACTATTTCAAGCAAAAATTCCAGAAAAAACAAGTGGAACAATTATGCAAGTTATGAAAACCGGTTATCGTCTACAAGATCGTGTTATACGTGCTGCACAAGTAGGTGTAGCGCAATAAAAAATCGAATATTCTAGTAACCATAGATGATTTATTATTGTTGTTGCTGTTTTTCTTTTCTGTCATTTCAAAATAAAAAATGTTTTGTTATGATAACTAAACCAGAAAAAAGAAAGTATGAATAATATTTTTCTCTTTCCATTTTCTAGATTTCCACTTACATAGTTTATCATAGTATCAAAAAAAAACAACATAACGACATTTTTATTGTTGTAGCACAGATATATAACAGAGAATACGAGTAATGATTACATTTTTTTGAGTAAGTCATTTATTAACAACGAAGCTTGATTTATATCATCATTTATCTTTTTAGCGAATATTAATACGTCATCAATCGTGTTTCTGCATTCTCCTCTTGACTTATTACATTAGCGGGTCATGAATTACATATAACGTGTCCTTTGAATCGATTTCCGTAAGTATATTTACATATTTTCTAAATATTTTTCAACCATTTTCCTCTCTATATTAGTCAGCATTAATTAACCCGGTGATTTTCTTTTCCTTCTTTATGGCAGTATGTTTTGGTGGTAAAAAGTCAAAAACATCTCAATCAATAACAAAACGTTCTTCATCAGATAAAAATACTAAACTTGATTCGCAACAAACTCTTAATATTCATACAAACATGCCTCATGACCTTTCACGTTCGTCCGCCAATTCTGCATCATCATCAGCATTATCGTATACAAATAATGCATCCCAATCAACTACTAATCCAATGAATAATCATTATTATCATAAAAAATCGAAAAATTTTGATAAAATGGAAATTTCTGATGAGGATAATGATGATGAAGATAATGATGATGAATCAATAACAGATGAAGATTCTAAACAACAAAAAAAACTTAAACGTACATCAGATAATTTATCACCATTACCACCAACACCACCGCCACCAGCTCAACAACAATTTTCAATTGTGAATGCTGATATGATTTTTTACTGTTTTGAAATCTTAGGCAATCATTTATTTAATGGTAGACATCATCTTGGAAAACATCATGTTGCTGCTGCTGCTGCTTCTTCATCAGGTACTAGTGGACAATTAGTTCCAGCAGCAATTAATCCTCCGCAAGTTCCAATGGATCCTTATCCATTATTTGTTACATGGTTTATTGGTACAGATAAACAATTACGTGGATGTATTGGAACATTTTCACCAATGAATTTAGCCCATGGTAAATTTAGTTTATTAGGGAGTTAGGAAGTTTTTAGTTAGATTTCATTATTTTCTTTCTTTTTGATCATTACATATATATCTGTTAACCATGATTGATCCTCAAAATTATTTTAAAATGTAGGTTTCTTTTCAGGGAAGATAAATTTTAATATTATTTCTAACTAAAATTTAATAGCCCTCATACATTAACAAAACTCATAGATATTATGTTATGTTCCCTAAGAGAATTTTGATTTAGCTGTTAGAGTAGAAAGAGCATATCTCTAATGAGAAGTTAATTATGCCACAATAGATCTATACATAGAAAATCTCTTTATTAGCTGCTTAAGGTTGAATAAATCAGTTAACTAACAAATTTGTATTTATCTACATTTGAAATTTTATTATAAAATCTTCTTAATATATTTTAGGTCTTCGAGAATATGCTTTAACATCAGCTATCAATGATAGTCGTTTTTCTCCAATATCACGTGATGAATATCCATTATTATCATGTGCTGTATCAATTTTAACACAATTTGAACCATGTTCAACTTATTTTGATTGGGATATTGGTCTTCATGGTATTCGAATTGAATTTCTGAATGAACGTGGTGCAAAACGTTCAGCAACATATTTACCTGAAGTTGCTCATGAACAAGGTTGGAATCATATTCAAACACTTGATTCATTATTACGTAAAGGTGGTTATCGAGCACAAATAACATCTGATATGAGAAAAAGTGTTCAAGTAACACGATATAGAAGTGAAAAATTAACATTACATTATAATGATTATGTACAATATAAAACAACTTCATCCATAACAGCATATTCATGTACAACAACAACAACAACTACAACAACTTTTGTAAAAAGCCGTCCAAAATAAAATAAAACATTTATTTCTTGAGTTGTGTGGTGCTTGTATTTCCAGAGTGCACTCAGGATTGTATCATTTTTTTTCGTCGGGGAGAATTTTTCTTTCTTTATACATGCACACTCTCTACATACATACATATACATATACATATATATATAGAACAACTTGTATATTCCATTATCTATTAGTGACAGTTGATTATATAACTTGAGTATTGCTTTTAGAATGTCAAATATTATGATTGACGACGAATCAAGCCGTTTAAAACATTTTCTATGGGAAGAATTAGATGAAAATTTTCTTATTGCAGTAATATTTCGGTGTGTGAAATATCTATATTTTTTTTCTTCATAAAAAAATAACTTTCATTATTCTCCTTTTTTTTATGTTAATAGCTCAGGTCGTCGTTACGTTGTTCAACGTCATTTTGAACAACAATTATTAGATATAAAATCTTCATTATTACAAAATAAATGGCGTCGTTGTTTATTAGATGTTATTACCAGATCTTCATCACCTATTTATATAACATTGAATGAAGTTGAATTAATGCATGAAATTTATTCGTGGCATTTAAATTATGCAAATAATTATATAAAACTTCGAGAAAATATTGATTATGTTATTGATTTTGAAAATTTAATTGATTGTTTTAATTCACTAGGCTTAGTTGATAATAGTAATTATTTACAATCATTTATGATACAACCAGTTACAACATTAGATGAAGCAAGAAAAAATATTGAAAAATGGAAAAATTTACAAGAAACTATTAATGAAAATAATACACATCAGCAGACTATAGATAAACGAGTTAATAGAAAAAAACCAAAAACATCGAGTAAGATATTATTTATAATAAATTTCATTGATAGAAAGAATAGCCAACTATCACATGTTCTAATGCTGTTTTTTTATACTGATAAAATAAGTGATATTATCTGATAGTAATTTCGAGATTTCTATATATGCATACTGATAGCTGTTTTCTATATTTTATTATTACGCATCAATATCTCAGCATTTCATATTATGAAATTTTGTAAGAATGAATAAGTAACAATAAAAGTAGGAAAATCGATATTATCAATTAGAATGTAATATTAATAAAAGAAAAATTTGTCATTAGATCTGTTAGGATTTTATGTCATAATTGATATTTAATTTTGTGATTTATCTGAAATAAATCTTGAAAATAATTAATTTTCAATATGTCGATCAATATTGTTACTTAATCTAATAATAGGAGATAAAATTACAATATAAATGCCAAGATTATTTAAAAATATTAAGAGTATAGTTTAAATCTAAGATAAAAAGAAATTTAATATATATACTTATAATAAATCTCTTTATATGTTTAATTAATTCTAGCTATAACTTCCACTGAATCAATACCACTATGTGATCAATCTTCCACAACCGGTTGGCTACAATTAGATTCAAAAATAGTACCATTTATAAAAAAACAATGTGATCGTCTTCTTTCAGTTGATTATCTTCTTAAAGAACATATCATAAGTTCATCAGAGGATTTTTCTTTACGTCCATTATATATACCAATTGAACATGATGATATTTGTACATTTAATACATTAATTCGTCAATCATCATCATCATTATTATTTAATAGTATTTTAACCAAGCATTCATCATTAATTACACTTGATCATTTAATATTTCGTTTAAAACGTTTATTTTTTATTCGATTTCTTTCATCACCAATAAATAATGATTATATTGATTATCATAAAATAATGTCATTTCATGGTGGTTTATTAACAATAATAGATTCAAAAAAACAACATCTACCATTTATTTATATAAATAAAATAAAATATATACCACAGTTAAATAATTTAAATTCTTTATCAATAGCAACATTTTGTATAGCAAATAAATATGAATTAGAATATTTACGTTTAATATCTCTCTATGATTATTTAGCATCAGATGAAAATGATGATATTCTAAAAATTTTATTAACAACTAATAATTTAACATTAATACCAATTGATTATTATTGTGAACAAAATTTACAAACAACAATATCATTAAATGATTTTCATTATCATGAATATCAAAGACGAACTCAACAACAGAAAAATCTCAGTAATTATGACGATAATCAATCATCATTAAGTGGATGGTGGCAACCTCCAGCATCATCAACTTCATCGAAACAAAAAAGACCTTTATCTCATTTTAAATTACAGCGACCTATTTTCTTTTAAATATCATCAACTTTAACGCGTATTGTTTCTCTAGTCTGATACGTTTTTTTTTTCGGCGTTTGCTTTTTTTTCTTTTCTTCTTCTTGTTTCTTTTCAGTGCAATTTTGTGATTTTGTTTGTATATATCTATCTATATAGATGCTCTTGTAATTTGAAAAACAATTCAAATAAAACAAAATCCAAAATACGGAGTGAAATATTAAATAAATTATTATTGACATAAATAGATATACAGGAAAAATATTTTGTCGTGACTTAAATGGATTCATGGTTTTTGTCAGACACGAGAGTGCTGAAATAGAAAGGATAAAGACTTACACTTCATCCCGCACTCATGTAACAGACATTCTTATCAATAAGTTATCACATAGACACGCATGGCAATACTATCTCTTGGCCACCAGTAGTAAAAATTAGATTGTGTTTCATATTTTAATCCCGCAGAGATTGCATTAACAGATTTTTTCATCTGCTGAGCCATTTGTCGTATTGTAAATGTATTAATAAGGTTACATTGACATTTTTTGTTCGTTCTAATAATACTCATTCTTCGTCTAAACCTAGTCCCGTTCGAGTGGATGATTACTCTCGTTCCGAAACTAATAAAATGTTAACAGCTGACAATAAACTTGAATGAGATTTACCAAATCTCCTAATATTTCGTTCTTGTTATAATTCACCAAAACAAGAAACTATTTTATCCAAAGAAAAGTTTTCTTTATTCATTCTAATTGAATTAGTTGAGTATTATTTTGTCATTGGTTTATAATTATTATATTCATGAAACAAAAATAATAAATAAAAAAATAGCTTTTGTTCGCTTTTTTCTAATCGACAAATTTACATGAACAAAAGAAAAAAAGAATATACGTATAATTCTACACATATTTAAAACGTGAAGAACAAAACAAAACAGAAAAGAAATAGATTATTATTTTCTTTCATTATTATAATCGACGTAAATCTAATTTTAATATTCGTGTAAATGTTTTTTTAAATTGTTGATTAGCTAATGCATAGCAAAATGGATTAATCGGTGAATTAAGGTAACAAAGGAAATAAACACAATGAAACATTGGATTTGAAAATACCCAATTATTTTTACATGATTCGCATAATGAATGCACTGCTGAATAGATATGCCTACAAGGGAAAAAAATGTATATATATATAGAAAAGGATAAGATAAAAATAATATTTACCATGGAGTCCAACAAACGACAAAAGCGCCTGTAAAATAAACAAAAAAAAAAGATGTGTTTCCTACTATGATTAATTGAAGAATAAAAGCTGATATTTTATATCTATTTAAAAAAATTAATTATTTAGATTTAGTAGAATCTATGGTATGGGGGCAAATGAGCAAAAGGTTTTCCGGCGAAAGATGTTTAGCAGTTGTGACTTTCGCGCATTTTTTACGCTGATATGGTTTTCGCTCCATGGATACCATATCTGAAATCTGATAGAAACTGAATGTCTAAATAAAACTTTAATATAATTAGGTCATGTATGAGCAATATTGTTTTAGGGTAAAAAGTTATGTCAAGAGTATGATTATTAAAGTCTAGACTTTATCCGGATAAGAAATTTTCTTTTGCCCGGGGAATTTTTTTGAATCCAACAAACCTCAGCTAGATGTAAATTCCAAATATAAATTGATTATTGCGATGTTATCAATAAATGTCTTTGAGAAATATATAAAATACGACAGTCATCAATAATTATAAATAAAAAATAAATATATCTCATATTCAATAAACTTTATTTCCCTATAGTCTAGCTGAACTTCATATAGCACGATTTTAATTAACATATTTTTCCCGTGTTCATATTAAACTTACCTAGAATGAATGTTATTGTTCGTAAAGCTTTTCTTGCTCTATTTTGTGTTTTTGATTTTCTTCGTGTTGTTGTTTTTTGACTTTGTAAGAGTTCTCTAACACTTGATTTTGTTGAATTTGAACTTATTGTTCCAGTTCCTGTTGTTTCATGTACGGAAAATATTTGTCCATTTTTATTTGGCTCAATTTGTTCCGATATACGAATTGAATTATCTAAGTGTTCTTTTATATCAATTTGTGCCATAACACATTGATCTTTTGTTTTAGGTGATGATGAAACAGATGTTTGGGTAACAAAACTTTCAAATGTTACTTTTGATGCATTTCGATTATTAGATAACGATGAATCAATTTCATTTATATATGTATCTGAATGATGTTTTTTTAATATTGGACTAAGTTCAGATGTTTGTAATTCTGCACTAATTTTTCGTTTATCAATTCTAAAATTAAACTATGTGACTTATTTTCTTCTTTGCAAAAAAATTTTACCCTCCAAATATAGTACTAGTAGTTAATGTTGTTGTTGTTGTTGTAATTGCATCTGAATCTGATGATGTATTACGTTTTTTATCAATAGCTGATAGAAAATGTTGTGGAATTTGTATATCTTGAGATGATGATGATGATGAGGATGATGATGATGATGTTGCTGGACTAATCCAACTATCTCGTGAAAATTCGTCAATTAAATTTGATGGTTGAAATATTTTATCAATCGAACAATCTTGACTATAAGTATTTAAACTAATACTATTTGTTAGTGTTTGATCATCACTTGTTGTATCAAGATTTGTTTTATTTAATATCATTAATTTCATAAAACTATTATCACATTGATAACTATATTCATCATCAGTAAAAGCTGATGAATATTGTTCATTTAAACGTAATAATGAAGGTGTATCATGATTCATTTCTTTATAATTTGATAAAACATCACTTTCACTCGTAGTTAAATTATCATCAATATCATTGACTTGACTACATTGATAGAATTCAATTAATGCACGTTCAACATCAGAATTTTGATGATTTGATGGTGATAAATTTAGAGGAGTTGGAGGTTGAGATAATGAATTTTTTGTGTATGAAACAAAAATAGCGGACGTTGTCGAATAAATATCATTTGATGATATAGGTAATGATGCTGATTGCATTTCTCTATTTAATAAACTTTCACGTGGTACGTGTCGTAAACTACAATGTCGTATTGGTAATTTTCTAGAGGACGGATTTGAATTTATACACGGATATGTTTCTATATGCACATCTTGTGAATTATCATGATTATTATGAACAGATGATGTAGAAGATTTCGATCGATATTTCGGATTTAAATAAAGTGGTGATTTATAAACAATAGTTTCTCCTTGAATTGGTTCATTGGAATCTTTTGATGGAATACAACGACGATGTAAAATATAACCTTAAGAAAAACAAAATCTTTAAAATTTTCTTTTAATCTTGATATTCAAAAGGTTTAAATTGCACTTGTATTAACAATGATTACTATTATATAGTGGCTTCTTAATCTTAGTATTCTCATCGTTTTTGTTGTTATTCTGACATGACATACACAACTCAGTATAGATTTAATAAAAAACATAATCTTTGATACTTGAATATTTCTATACATAGCTTACCTAAATCTTCAAAATCAGTTTCATCAATATATGGTATATCAAGACTACTATTACTATTAAGTAAACGCCAACTTTCATCGGATGATTCATCAGTATTATTATTATTATTATTAACAACTGGTTCAATAGTTATTTTTAATTGTGACACGGGTGATGATGATGATGGATTTATTTCTATAATATGTTCATCTGTTAATGTTTGATTTGAATGCGTTATATCTTCTATTGAAGTTTTATCTAGATTTAATGACGATATTGATAAACAATTAGTAATAGTTAATGATGTTTGTTGTGATGGTTCATTTGTTGAAAGTAATGGTGATTGTCGTGCTTTTAATCGTTCATGAAATAATTCGTCTGACATAATTGCTAAGGATTCTGGTCGTGGTTGTGGTGGAGGATACATACGACCTGGTACAAGTTCAGATTCTGATGGTATTGGTGTAAGACCCATTGATGGTTGTGGTGAATTTGTTGATTGTTTATTTTTCATACCACCTAAACGTATTGGACTACGATAAAATGAATGTGCAAATGATTTAACATTTGAAGAATATTTTTGATTTAATTGTTGTTCATGAACGGGTGAATTTCTTGTTGAACTTGAATTAATAGCTGTTGTAGAATTACTACCCCAATTAACACTAAGACCACGACGATTATGATGAGAAAGTTTATCATTTGACAGATGAAATTTTTTTTCATTCATGTTATTTGCTTCAAGATCGGAATGAGATTCATATGAATTTGATACTTCATCATCACCACCATCATTTGTTTGTCGTAGATCCGATGAATTATTACTAAATTGTTTAACAAATTTTTTTCGTTGTATATTAGGTTGAGATTCATTGCTAAGAGTTTGTGTTAATTCACTCTTATGATTTTCTTTAACTGGTGTACGTTTTGCTGGTGAATTTTTTACTCCAATACCTACACCTATTTGTGTCATAGCATTACCTAATTAATATATGAATTGAAGGATTTCTATTTTTTTTTAATTATGATGAATATTTACCTGCCATACCAACAAGTGAAGACATTTTACGAGCATTTTCTTGGGATTTTTTTTCTAAATTACTTGCAACACCTATAAAATATTCATTTGAATATAGAAAGATTAGAAAGACAATTTAATACCATATATAAAAATATATAAAACAATCATAACAAGTAATGTTGTCCAAAAATATCCAATAGTTAAACATAAATTAAATATTTGATTTTTATTCCATTGAACATCACCTGACGAGAAAAAAAATTATTAGAAAACGAAAAAATTCGTTTATTTTTTTTGAATATTTACAAACACCACTTTGAAGATTTGAAATTCCTCGTACACGTGGATAAAGCATTGTTGATGTAAAAAAAATTAGAGTAGGAACTATGAAATAAAAATAATACTCGAATAATTATTTCTTATTCAAATTTCTTCTCTTACATGCCCATGTAACTGCAATCATAATATTAATTCGTTTTTTTGTACGCCATTTCCGATATTTAGCTGGCATTTTAACTGAACAAAATCTATCGATCGTTATGAACAGCACCGTATAAATCGAAGTTAAACAAACAGTATAATCTAATGAAAGCCATATGTCACATATAATTGCGTTTAATGGCCAATCTTTTGCATAGATGTAAGTTGTTAATAAAGGCATTGATAGAAGACCGATAAGAAAATCACTAACAGAAAGTGAAAGTATAAAATAATTTGTTGGTTGTCGAATTTGTCGATCAAGAAAAAATGCAAGGATAACAAGAATATTTCCTAAAACTGTTAATACAGATGTTACACTACCAAATATTGCAATTAAAATTAATAACCAAACTGGATAATAATCATCATTAGGTGATAGATTATTTGTCGATGTTAACAATGATGATGATGGACCGGGTATGTATGTTATACTCCAATTTGTACGGTATGTAGCTGTAAAGAATGGTCGATTGAAATTAGCTTGACTAACATTTAGTAGCAACGCATGCACAATGGCAGCGTTGTTATTATTAGTACTTAAACCGACAAAGGACGACATGTATATATTAATGTAAATGAATATACTATAAGTTTGATGATGATAATAACCATTTTAAAGTCACCTTGTTGATGGTGACGACGACGACTTATCATCGTCGACTATATAAAAAAGAAAGAAAATTGTGAATGTGAACTTATTTAGAACAAGCAACAATACGAGAGAGAGAGAAAAAAAAATATATATATATGGAATTCCTATGTTTTTTAATCTTCATTAGAAAGATGAAGCTGTCAGAAAAATATAACATTTTTTCTTAAGATTTCATGTTATTTAAATATAGAAATGTTAATCTACTAATTCTGATTGTTTTTTTCTTCGTTTACGTCACTTATATTTTTCTAAATACCTACAATAGGATATAAAAAGAAAAAATCCTTATCGCGGAACAAATAATATATAAAAGAAAAAATCTTTATATTGACAATAAATCTTTCACTTAAAGAAAAGTACATTGAATAAAAAAAGAAGAAGAAGAAGAAGAAATATGGATGTGTTCATTATTTGATCAAATCTTGACATTTTTAATCATATTATTTACATTCTATTAAGTTTTTTGTATGATTTTCAAAATTTTTCAAATATAGAAATATTTTTACTTATGACTAATGAGATATAAAAGTAGAAGCAAAAAAAATGAAAAAAAGAAGACTAAGGAAATTACTTTCTTCTTCTTCTTCTTGTACTCTTTCTATCTTTTAGCTAATTTGATCGTGCATCACTACATCCTGTATGTAGTTAAGATGGCTTGTTGTTTTGTCATTTTTTTTCATTCTTAAGCCTATTATGAAAAGTACTTGTAGCATTGTTTAATTGAAACATCGATGATAAGAAATATTACATACATACTTCTCTCATCAAAATTTTACAGATGAAAAGAAAAACAAGAAGTAGAACGAAGAGAGAGAGAGAGAGAGAAAATTAATTGTGATATTCTTTTAGTCTACCAATCATCTGTCAAAAGCAAGAACGAATTAGTAATATAATAAAAAAAAAGGAATTAGAAGAAAGCAAAAAAAAATTTTCTATAATCTTGTTACAGATAGATAAATAAATATATCTAATTATAAATCTATACCTTTATAATTATTGTTTTGGTTCATAAGAATATCTAAGACATATAATTTTTTGAATAGACGTCTGCTCATAAATTTTTTTGTTTTTTCTAGTAGATTTCTTTTTTTTATAAGATTGTTATGGAAAAGATTTCTTTCTCAAGATTTTTTCAATAAAAAAAAACACCGAGAAAAAACGAATGAAGTATTGCATGATTCTCAAGAATATTTCATCGACAACTAGTAATGTATGTGTCAAGCAGAATTAGTTGCTTCATCTGATATAAACTATAGAAAAGCTAAGTGGTATTGTTGAAGAAGGCAGACTCCGAAACTTAATTTTGTCCAAATGTGTGATATAATATGAGAGTAAATCGAACGATTAACAAGTGGTATAGGAGAGAGAAAGAAAGAAAGAAGAAGAAGAAGAACCACCATTGTCGACAACGATCGCAATCAATTTCTCGACAAACTCGAACAAGCACAACATACTAGAAAAAAAAGCAGATTTATATCTATATATCTCTCGATATCTATATTCAACGAGAAGAATAGGACAAGTCTAGGATAAGATCTCTTTTCTTTCTTATATAAAAATAAACGATTATGAATCATGAAACAAAATTTTTTAAATAAGAAAAGAAGAACGGATTTTTCTTCTATAAAAATGTATATCATTTGACAATCGTATGAGATATATAATGATTTCCTGTATTTTGTTCTGAAGTCTATTTCTTTTTTTAAGTTAATAGTTTCATCTCAGACCTTTTCTTTGTTTTTATCAAGTAGCTAGTCATGATTTCTATAGATAAGATGACATGAAAACGAGTCTTTATTTATTTTAATAGACGCTGAAAATGAATAATAATTGATTTTCCGTTTTATTTTTTTTATTAAAAAATTAAACTATAAGAAAATAATTTCACTCACTATTTTTTTTATCTGTCAATTTGATGAATGATGAAAAATGCTCACTTGATCCATTTTCTCTTTTGATTGTGAAAAGAATGATGTGCATGGCTTTTTTTTGTTCTCTTTCTTCTCTCTACATTTATATTATTTTTTTTTTGTCAAAAATCTAATTCAGTAGATAAACTTAAAGAATGACACTAGCCTTTTACTCGCTCAGTTACTTCTCTTGCTCATTCGAAAAAAAGATTACAAATCATCATTGCTTACTAAGCGAAAAGATGAGTTCTACTCTGTCTCTCTTTCTCGGACCAATGGATTATGAATGAACATACATATACGCGCGCGTCGTCGCATTTACTAAATCAAATTAGATTAGCCATCATTACTTTCCATTAATACTCGAACGTATCATGCAAGTTAGTTTTCATCAATATCCTATGATTAAAGAACAACAGAATGAGAAATAGATATTATCATCCGATTATATATAGTATTATACTTAATTGATCAGATAAAAAATGCTTTGTGTTTTATGAATATAAAATTGAACTCAATGTTATATTGTCTTGCCATACATGCATCAATGAATTTCATAATCTATTTCTCCTATTCAATAATAACAAAAACTTTATTTGTTATTTATGAAATCATGAATGTTCGTTCAGTGAAATTAACGCTTCGCGCTCTACCCTCCTTCTATTACTATAAAGCGTAGATTGAGTTGGATGAATAAATGTTCAACGAATTGTTCATTCATGCTGTTGTTGATAAAAGCGAGCGAGCATATTTCCTTTTTTTACTGATCCATCTATGATAGAACCGAAGAAAAAGCTCTTAACTAACTCGTAATTTCATTCTGAGAACTACATAATTCCGTCTCACAATTTCCTTTGCATACTAAACAACGTAAAAAAAAATCAATTCTTCATTTCCTTAACTCAGTCAAGTGATTGTCGTAGATTGATACGCAAGATGTGTATGTATTCAAGCGCATCATTCTTCATCTTTTATGATAATTCAAGTGATAATTCAAAAATAGAAAAAGAAAAAAGGAAATAAAGACGTGGTCAGAAAATACTAGTTGTCATTTTCTTTTAAGCGACAACGCGTTTTTTTAAAAGACTTGTCTTTCATCATTAAATCCTAATCTAATTAATTAATCGAACAGAACTAGAAAATACTTCATGTATAACAATAGTTATTATTGATTTATTATAAAAATGCACTAAAATTGTATAAAAAAGAAAAAGAATTGACAGAAGAATGAATGAACTCTAAGACATACCATAAGTGTTAGTAATTTATTTGTTCTTTTCAAAACTTGTCAGCAATCATAATAATAATGAATACTGACATATTGCAATCAAAAGATAATATGATATTAGACTTGGTCGACATATGTAAAAATCCTTTTATTTTTTTGTTTTTATCTAATTAACAATTGGAGTAAATAATAATCGAATGTTTTTAAACATATATGTGATCGATTTAATGTTGATATAGATGCCTTGACCCTGATGTTTGTTATAAATAATATAGTATAGAAGGAAAAACTTGATAACAACAACAACATGTGAAATTTTAATCGAAAACAGATCTTAATCAATCTAACGAATTGATGTTTATATAAATCAAGTCAAAAATATATTTTCCTTGATAAACATATACAGATATATGTTATTCGAATGTGTTAATACTTTCTTAAACAAGACATACGAATGCATTATGATAATATTCAATAATTTAGATAGTTGTTTATTCTAAGAATTTGATTTCCATTTATTATTGTTTTTCTCTATTATATCCTGGATACGAACGAAATTAGTTGGATATTTTAATAGGATATCATATAGAAATAAAATTGTTGTTTTTTTTTAGTGAACGAATATATTTAACTACTGATTACTAATCAAATGCATATTTTTGTTCCTAACTTAATAAGAAGATTAAAAGCTTGAATGAATTCATTTACATTTACAATAATTCCGGATATAGGATTATTCTTACCGGATATTGATTAAATATGAAGTTTTTTTTCGAGTATAGAAAAAATTTGATTATTTATAATTCGTAAAAAATTCTTTCTCACTACTTTTAGAATAAAATCATCGAACTTTTTTTTTTTATAATTTATTTAACGTAGAATATTCACGTGTCCATCTCTTTCATTGGTTTTTTAATAATTCAATACTGATAGTAATAAATCATATGATAGTTTCATGTACTTGATACTACGATTTCAAGTCAGTACATGATTTATTTTTATCAGAAAGGATGTAAAATATCATTCTTAGAGTATTTTAAGAAGAGTGCAGGAGATTATCACAGCAGTTACAAAGGAAGATTCCCAAGTGAGAATTTTAGTTTAGAACGGAATATATACTAATGCTTAAAATTGAATGAACTGATTGTCATGATATATGTCGTTTTTCTTCATGCAACTTCCCTTGAGATAAGCTACTCAATTTTTTTACTTTAAATAAATTTCAAGGGAACTGTTAGAAATTTTGTTCTCTAAGCTAAACAAATACCTGAGTGCATATTTGATCAGTGTTTATGCATTGAGGTTATTCTCAACAAAATATGCGACTAAGATTCTATCAAATGCTAATAGTACGTACTTTTTTAGATATTCTATCGAAAAATAGCTCATTATATACTCTAGGATCTTGTAGTTCTAAATATCTGTGAAGAAAATTGAAAAATTAGCTCATCGAGTTCTACAAAGGAATACCTGTACCATTGTAAATGAATGTGTTACACGATCTTTGAATAATTACATTAATGAAATGAAATAAAAATATTTTATGATTCAAGCTATTTTGTCTATTTTCAAAGCAAAACGTGTAACTATACAAAAACGATCTTATAGAAATTGTAGAGCTTGCCATGTTGAATGGTGTGGTATATTTTATTTTTTTAATACAGCCTATTAAGGAATTAAAGCTAAAACATCTTGAGCTTAAACTTAGGCTTTTAGAAGAATCAGATGAAAAAGTTTTTGTGGTACCACATGTAAATAATATTAAAAATATAAAAGATTAATTTAATATAAATGTATGATAATGTTTCAAATTTATTCTTAAAATGATGTCATATTAAACAGAATCTTCATAAAAGAATACGTTTTAAATAATATACAATTTTTTTCAAATATGTTTTCATTATAAAACTAGTATTAACATTCTTCTTGTGCTTTTCATACAGTGAAATTTCTCTTTATGTATTTGTGATTAAATCTAATCATATCTTTTACTTATTTCTTTCGATATAGTTTTTCTTTTTCGATTAAAACATTATATTTACCAAGATTTGTTTTTTTGTTGAAAAATTTGTCTGAAGATTTTCGATTTGTTTAATTAAAAAAATGAAACTATTGACAGTGCTATTTTTAGTTGAAGTTATTTTTTACCTTTTGTCTCGATGAACTGATGATCATTAAGTCATAACAATACAGAAGTCGCT